TAAGCTAAGTTAGCCGAGACGACACTCGAAGTCGGACGGACACGATTTTCTGCCAATCTGTGGTTTTCCCTTTTCGGCCAAATATATTTTTTTACGACAACTGTCTTGTCCACGGCGTCTTTTATTCGTTCCACTGGGGTTTAGCAAGTGTGTTTATAAAGAGACGAAAATTGTTTGGGGACTATCCCCCCACATTCTAGTTGAGATGGTATAACCCAAGTGGCAAAATGACGCTTGTTACTGTTGTTGCGAGTTGCCATTCGTTCTACTAAACCATTAGTCAAACGCCATCATGTCTTCGGTCGTTATTACACAAACAAAAATCTCTTTACTGTTACTAGTGTTAGTGCCTCCATATGGCTACGCTCGTGAAATCAATACAACGAACTCAAACGCGTCTTCGTCCAATGTTGTCAACTAATATCCGGATTAATTTTATTTTCCTCAATTCTCCGGAGAAATTTTCATAAAAATTTGAAAAACCCGGAATTCCGGGAAAATCCGGAGGACTTTCATCTCTGTAAAGTTAGGTTGAAGAAGAGTGTATGTCCTGCCAGGACTAAGCTTTGAACAAAAGAGGAAATTATGTCAAAGTGTCCTTGCATCTTTTATCCTGGGGAGGATTGAGGCTCAAGTTAAAAATGTAATATAGTTTAGAAACACATGAATGTTTTAAAATTAAACAAAAACTTTTTAAAATTGTTTTTTTTAATACATAGAATAGTGACACCAATGTATTGAATCAAATGAGACCATGCATTTTGTGTATTGTTGCAACCCAACTAAACAGATTCTATAATACTGTACATGTATTGTGAACTGAGAAGTCTCACGGGCACCATGAACAAATACCAAACTATTATAGATATTATCAAAGTCATATTTGCGTACAATATTCCGGATACATGCAGATGTTGCGGCAGTATTTGATAAAAATCAAATAAACACAGAGATAGTTTGTTGGTGTGATCCAGTGCAGATCAAATAATTTCCCCCAAGTGTCTCACTGTGAAGCATCATCGTCATCTTACGTGTCTCCTCGCCGTCCATCCCTTGAGCTGTTGTAGCTGGTACACAGTTTACTGAATGACACCAACTTCAGGTCCAGTTCATTCTCCAACTGCCTGGCCTGTTTCCGTAGATCTAAAACACATGATGATTACACGCACAGCAGATCGTTGCAAAGTCGACGCTACTTACCTTTGGCCGGTAAAACATGGACAGCCATGACAAGCTGATCACATCAACGAACGTCGGTTGTATAAAAAAAACGCATCCGAAATATTAGCTTCCATGAACGACGTGACAACCGGAGTAACAAAACTGTTGCTGCGATGGCGTGAAGTTAGCTAGCTTGTGGGCAGCCAGGATACGAGACACGTAAGCACGTTGCGTGGAGCGTGAACTCAGACCGACAGACAAAAAGATGTTAATAATACAGAGCGACAGTGTAAACACTTGACAGTCTCGTTAAATTAATCTCGTTTACCTTCCCAGTAGTTACTGCTCCCCATTCCTGCCATCTTTGTTTTGTCTGAGATGTCACCAACTTCCGGGATTGGCAAACAGAGGGACAACGACCCCCCTTATATCGCCCTCTGTCGACCTTCTCTAGTAGCACAACGCCCGTTGAAAATATGCCGTCGTGCGCGGAACTCTTTCCTAAACCCAAGGCACACATTTACATGACAGTCCAGTATACCTTATTATGCCATTTTGGGAGAGGTCGTTTAATTGATTTGTCTGCCACTCTACGTCGTTTGCATAGATTGATGAACAACGATACATTTGTATCCAAATAATTTTCCGGACAATTTGTTCACTTCATTTACATAAAACTACTGATTTGGATAATTTCTCGCAGCACATTTAATGATCTTTCATGGTACACTAAACAGTCAACACAGTGGTTGTGAATCGCTGCTTATTGTGCCAGTGTAAATAAGCGCTTGTGTGTGATTTAGCACTTGCGTGTTGAGTCTGCCAGGCCCCGTTAATGTCAACGTGTTTCCTCTGCAAGACGAAAACAAAAATATTGTTCCAACTTCATCATGATACGAATCACTGTATATTCAGACCTCAGGCAACAATGATGACATTTCTTTAGTTCTTTAGTGTAATAAAAAAAAGTCTTGACATTAGGCAAACTGCAATAACGTTACAAGATCTTTGTGCATCACTTCACTATTCCCCAGAAATGATCCACTCTTCAACCAAAACACTGAGCAATGTTAACCGTTTGTTCAAAGAGGTTTTGGGCACAATAGCATCATTAAATCAGTAGAACTTTGTGTTGAAAATCGCATGAATTGCACCAATTCTCTCATGTACACGTGACATATCGGTTCATTCCACTTTATATAAAATCTTCAAAGCAACATTGCATGACTCTCTCGACTTCCAAAACCACACGCACACTCATTGAGACATGGTAAGAACAAAATACACAAAAACACCAAAAGAGAATTAAAATTCATGAAAACATCTGTTTAAAACCCAAATGTAGAAAGACTGGAAATTAAGGCAAGGCCTTAAGAAACCTAAATTAGAGGTGTGGAATTAAGTATGGCGTTTTCCACTTCAGCAGCAACCAGAGTGAGAAAATTTTGGTTTAGTTGGGGGTGAACTTTCAATGATGCCAAAAGTTATGAAATCTGCTTTCTATTTCCTCTATGCAACAACTCTGAATTGCCATTTTCATCATTTTATCACAGTTGTAAAAAGGTGCATGTCCCAGCAATGGTGTTTTAGAATGGAAGTCACCTTTTCTGTGCAATGTGTACAGCCACTAGTCGGAACACAGCATCCTGATTAATATTGCGTTGGTGGAATAGGATTTAAGCAGAAAAACGCACCTGTTTTTGATTCACCTCCACTTGCTGTCGAGTGAAAGTGACATGACTATGCCTATAGTCTCAGTTTACAAACGGCACTTGACCAAACCCAGAAAATAATTGAGCTGTAACAATTGGCAAGTGGCAATATCACAGCCCCCCCTCCCCCCAACCAAGTGGATTTTTCTGCTTAATTAATATTCCACGAACACAATATTAATCACAATGCCATGTTTCAACGAGTGGGCCTGCATAGAACATATTGTAAAGATTTTTTAATTTTTTTTTAACTTGACTTCCCCTTTAGGCTGGACAGAACTCTGGATATTCATTCCGATCAGTCACAGGCATATGGACAGCCTGACCAGAAGTGACCGCAAATGGGGCTAATTAAGGTTATTTTCTGTTGAAAAGAAATTTTGACAGCATTGATTAATGGGAGGACAGCCGTGACATGAATCATGTTTTCCATGTGCTTTGCTGATACATATTAAAAAGAACAGTAAATTAAAAATAAAATACATTCATATGTGATTTGTTAAAAGACTTGCTTGATGTGAGGATATTTTTTTTTTCTCTCTAGTCCAAGGGAGCTGACACGTTTTGCACAAGAACAATTCCTGACACGTCTGAGTAAGTCCCCTTCTTGAGATTCTCTTTAAGGAAAACAAAATCATTAGCGTAGCAACAGTGCAAAATGAGCAAAGAGGGGCCCGATGTGTATCCCTCTTTCCACCACTTAAGAACTGGATGGATCAAAAATCGCACAAGCACAAATGCTTTCTACGGACTACATTGCAGCTCCAGAGAAGCCAAGGCACAGAATTGGATGTGCCCCTCAGAGACTGACTCATTCATTCATTCATTCTCCGAGCCGCTTATCCTCACAAGGGTCGCGGCGGGTGCTGGAGCCTATCCCAGCTGTCTTTGGGCAGTCGGCGGGGGACACCCTGAACCGGTTGCCAGCCAATCGCAGGGCACACAGAGACAAACAGCCATCCGCGCTCACACTCACACCGAGGGACAATTTGGAGTGTTCAATCAGCCTGCCATGCATGTTTTTGCAAGCCTTTAGTCAGACAGGTGAAGTTGATCACCAAAGGTTGGGGTACTCACTCTACTAAGGCGGGACGGATGAGCGGCAAACAGGATTAAAGCTTCACCTTGAGCACAAAAAGATGAACGCAACATTTTACGACTGATGACGCAACAATTGGACTAATAATTGAGCAGGTGTTCAAAATTCATCAGTGTAACACAAAAGTGTCTCAGTCTTGGTGGATTCACGAAGAGGCCGATAAAATGCCTCTAGTTCAACAAGTCCACACTAACTGTCCCAGGCCTTCATCTTGCAGCAGGAAACAAACACAGCAAAAGGCTCTTTCAGATTTTGTTGGCGTATAATGTCTCCTCGTCACTTTCACTTTCATCCTGGAACTCGTGGCCGAGGAGAGACTTCTTGGATCCCATGGATGTTAGGCGGATCTCGTCATCGTACTCATCCCGGTGCTGCCGCAAACGGTGGAAGCCATCCTTCTGCCGATTAGACTTGGCAGCGCACACACACCAGATGATGCATGCAGTCACCACCAATGCTGTCATGCAGGCAGCTGCAGAAAGAAGAGATGGAATCAAGTGGGCACAAATGTCAGTTCTGTAAATGGGGAAACATTTCTGGAGGCGGGGAAAAAAAAATGCCCAAAGTTGTGTACAGGCTATGTTTAATAAGTTGACCCCGGTAAATTCCTAAAAAATTGGAAGTTATTTCTAATTCTCGGTCAAGGTATGAGAAATTCATTCAGTCTAGCTACAATTTCTTGACAAAATTAAGACAATCAGACTTTAATGCCAATTTCTCAGCTGAACCCAATCAGTAAATTATGCTGTCTCAACAATCAAAGATTTTCCATCCAAACAGATCACACAAAAGCTGGTTCACATGAACTCAGAGGTCATTGAGTGCAAGCTTACTGAGCATTTCTGAGAAGCAAATCAAAGGGAATTAGCATCCCATTTTTATCCTCAACTGTGGAAAAAATAATTATTAGGAAATAATATTACTATTAAAACGGTTTACTGCCACTTTTTTCATCAAGAAAACTTTGCTTTTATTTTTTGTGATTTTAACATGATAATTTGTCATTTTAATAGTGTGTTTTATCATTACATTTATCCCGGTTTTGTGTTAAAATTTTACCTTGATTTGTGTCTTTTAACTATTTATATCGATTATTCCTTTGCCCATGTAAAGCACTATGGCTTTACCTTCGGTATGAATGGTGCTAGACACTTGCATTGCATGCTTAAGTCCACTTGGTCCATATCGGTAAACCAGAAGTTAATTTATTATATTACCTGCACTGGCCACCACAAATTCTCTCGGCAGACCAAAGATGCTGTGATCCATGTCAAACTCAATGATGATGGAGCTCGCTGCTTCATAGGAGGACACCACCACCTGAGTCGGGATACAACAGATATATGGTAACAATGACTTCAAACTTTAGTTGCCCACATGTGGCGATTCCCGGTAATCTTTGACATTGTCAAAGTAACACATCACTCCAAACACAGGCAGTAATTATTGTCTAAATGTTCATTCCATCCATTCAGGATGAAACAAAAGCCTGACAAATGCAAAATCTCACACAAGTTTTTTTTTTTGTGCTTTAAAGTTCTAACTGTTGCACGGTTCCTTTTAGCACCATTAAAAGAAAAGGAGGGAGGTCACAACAAATCCAAGTTGCAAAACGTTTCCTCAATTCTCACTGCTCGTGATTGAAAAGCAAAGTGATAGATGGTTGAGCCTTGAGAGACGACACTGCCTCATTAGAGAGCCACCTGTGCAGGTGTGACTACTCAGTAGAATCTGCAACAGGTTGTCGTGGGTCTCAAACAGGAGTTGAGCGCCTGGTCATCAAAAAAAAAAAAAAAAAAAATCTGTATATTACGCTGCCTTTTACTTCATCCTTTGTGTGAAATACAAAGATCACCAGAGTTAGCCTTTATTTTTGTCCTTTATTCATGCAGCGGTTAATACAAAATATAAGAGTCAAAATTACACTGAGCAGGGTGACCACCTTCCAGGACAAGAGTCAGCGATGCTGCCGGACGCTACTCTCCAAGTGTTGAACGTAAAACAGTAAGTGTAACTCTTGATCTTACATTATTGTTTCATTGAAGCCTATCCATTGAAAGAGGTATCATTTCAACTTCTAGAGATGCCGCATATGAGATGAGTTCCTATGACTTAAGGCGGCGTATTAGATGTCCGAAGAAATATGGAGAAATGACAAAGGAAAGGAGTTACATGTTGGCACCCAAAACTGACTTTGACTTGGATGTGTGGAATGAGCAGAAAGATGCAGATTGTGTACCAAGAGAGTTGGACGAGCGTTACAAAAGGAATGCTGCAATTCTTCCAGACCTCCATGTAACCCTCAATGACAAAGCACAAAGTGACATTTGCTCCAACGGTGTTGTGACCTACAAGTCTGACCCAAAATCAGGACCTTTAATGATCCATGGCTTCACGGTAGCAGATTACCAACACATGTATCATTTAGTGGTAGATCCCCTGCTGCTAACTCCTTGTGGGAAGCCGAGAGCGTACAATTTGGAGCTGGGACGCACTATAAAGGAACATCTGTTTACAGAGCTGGCCTACCCCATGCTTCAAACGTTTGAGTCACAAGGAACGGTGAACGTGGTGGAGCGATTTTGTTTGCTTCGCACAACACCCAGCATAGACATTGACAGTAATGGAGACTTTCCCAAATAAAGCATGCAGTCTTTTAATAATACCTCCAAAATATTTGAGTCTTTTTTTTTTTTTTGCGCTTGCATTGTTATGAATGCTGACAATATTTGCTGAAAATAAGTACATGCTGCAGTTCAAATAGGAGTGGGGTTCATAATCGCTTAAAGACCTCCATTCACAGAGTTAATTATTTGTCACTAATATGACTTTTTTTCATTTTACTTGAGGAAAAAAAATATGGGGGGGAAGGGGACATCACTTATTTAATGCAACAATGCTGGTTTAAAAAAAAATCTAATTTACTATACAGCGGTTATACTGAGGTGAAGTCATTTGACTACATCAAATTACTTTATGCCTTCAGGATTATACAGCAGGAACAGTATAAACTAGATTTTAAGAATATGCCAAAGATAAAACGAGCGTGTGTGTGTGTGTGTGTACCTCTTGGTGTTGCTGCTGGTAGCCATCAGCAACTGCTTCAATGTTGTGGTTGCCAGGCGCCAACAACGCATGAAAGTATCCACCTTCTGCAGTGAAGACTCTCACACCCCCATTCATGACAATGATGGCGCCAACAATGGGCTTCCCGCTTTTATCTCTCACCACTCCTCTCACTCCTTTGTGGACCTGGATGGGTTAAAGATGCATGAAGAAGATAGAGAAATGATTCAGTTAAGGTGTACAGAAGGGACCCGGTTGGGGAAAGGATTCAGGCAGCATACCTCCACTAACATGCTCAGAAGGGGCTTCTTGTTTTCTGCCCAGAGTGTGGCAAGCTGTTCACTTGGAGGAAAAACACAACAGCCAGTATACACTGTAATTTCTGGACAGTAGCCAAAGTCCATGCTGAAGTCCTGCAAACACATGAATGCACATAAAGTTCCAAAGAATCCAAAGTTCTACATTCTTGACGTAAACATTGAGGGGGCAGGGGGGGTCCCAACTGTGTGTCAATAAAGAATACTCGAAAGTGGAATACCTGATCCTGTCATTGTGTTTTCAGTCTGGTTTGGTTTTGTTTTATGTCTTTGAGAAACAATGTTCTTATCAGAAACCATAATAGTTGGAAAACATGTATATTCTTGTGGATCTCCATAGCTACATCGCCTGCCGGATTTGGCTACTTGGCAAGAGTCAGTGGCAGGTGATGAGGCTTCAAATGTCCACAATAAGACTAGTTGGCTTTTACAGAGTGGTTTATTTCATTCGAGTGGTATAGAGCTGTCAATAAAAACTGCTATTTCAGTAAAAATTGAGGCATTTTTTAATGTAATTTCATAACCTTCATTGCATTTGCTCCCCCGGCAAAGTTATTTGAATCAACAACAAAGCCTACCTTCATACTGCCCATATGACTTTGTCTCTCAGCTGCCCTCATAACTCCATCTTGAATGTTGCTTGCTGAAAAGGGGGTAAAAAAAAAACAAAACAATGTTATCAAGCCTTTCTTACCCTCCATTTCATAAACAATTCCAGAAACAAGTGCAGGCCTTTGTCAAAAAAATAACACACAATGTGTAGTGTAATATATATTTTCTGGATGGGCTGCTGGACAAAAGACATTCAGTTCATTAGAATGTACAACAGAAAAATACTACCTTGCCCGTTATTCGAACATCCAGTGTTGCCAAGGTGCATCGTGGGATGGTTGTTGGCATAAACGCTGGCCAAGTACTTCAGTGTGCCTTCATTCTCCACTGTAAAATAAATGATGAAAAACGTAGAGATTAGTGCTATCCAGTGATGCTGAGCAGCAAACAGCTTTCAGGTGATATAGTTCATCCAAGTCTTTGAGACTTGCAGTTATGTAACATTCTCTTTTTAGCTTGTCAAGTCAATCTGGGTTGTGAGGACACAGTGACCTCATTCTATTATGTAACTAATAAGTTTGTGGACCTGCTCGTCGCATCAGGTCACAATAGAAATCACTCTAAATCTCATGTCGGTCTATAAAATATGCAAATATGTATTATATTAATTATGTAGCTGAAAGAAAACCGGCATGGGTGTAATCATTTTGAAAGCAATATATGGAAATGTATTAAAACACAGCATATGTCTAGACATTGAATGTCATGTTAATCACATGTTCAATTGCGCTGCATTTCAAGTTAACCTTATTGGACACAACAATAGGCACATGTGTGTAATGAGATCTGGTGTAAGAGCTAAATCACAGAGCCTATCTTGAGAAAGATGACATTTAGTTTGGAATGACAAGATATGTTCGCTATCAATTTTACAAAAGGTTATATTGGAGCTGCTCTCTGCATCATACAGAGAGGCGATTTGAAGACCTCATTTGAAATCTTTGAATCTTTTCAAGATATTTTGGATGCAGTTCTTTGACTGGATGGCTGTATACCAAGGGCTGTAGCCAATTAGTGTCATGTATTTGCGATAATAAAACACAGAGTTGCATTTGTATGTGTTAAAAGTGCGATTATAAATAAAGTTTGATTGATAAAACAACACAGAGTTGCATTTGTATGTGTTAAAAGTGCGACATAAATTAAGTTTGATTGATAAAGTGGGCAAGAATTGAAACCACACGCTGGTGAAAGCAGGCTGTTGAGTTACTGGATTGGACAGGCTTGTCATAAGGGTAAGTAGCCACAAGTGATCCTCCATCAAGGGCCACAGACAGTGTGTAGCCTTTATCTAAAATCATGTCCATCATTGCTCTGGTTTCTGGCTGGGGCTCCACCAAACGTTGGGATGCATTGCCTGAAAAGGGGCATAACATGCAAAAGACAATGCATGAATTTTGTCTTTGTCCATGTCAGATGTGTTCATTCAAACAAAACTATGCAACTGACCAAAGAAGTCTGCGTCCAGATCTTTGCCATGAGTATTGGTGAAGCCCTGGGTGGAGGTGCACTGCTTCTCCACCGCTTGCTCTCTTCCATCCGGGTTGATCGACGGCACAATTACAATAGTTGTCTCGTTGATGAGCTATGGGAGGAAAACGGAGGACAGATTGTTAGAGTTTTGCATTAAAGACATGCATGTCAAGAGAAGTATAATATCACTCAAAACTCACAAAAAAAAAAAAAAAAACCCTCACCCTTGTAATGACTGAGTTTTTGCCATAATTGATGCATAACATGGCAGCAAACTCAAGAAGCAGCTCTGTTCCCACAGGGGCGTTACCATGGATCCCCGCGACAAAGCGGACCTTGGGCTCAGAAGGCTCAGCCTCTCCTGGGTTGTTGGAAATTTCCAGAGCCCAAATAGTTCTAAACTCAACGCTGTGGCCCAAACTAAAAGGAAATGAAGCGCATTTTAAGAACACGTTGCAACCATATGAGGTCCAAGGTGGCTTAAACACAGCAAGGCTCCCTACCTCTGCAAGGATGTAATTTTGGGAAAGTTGAGGGTAAGACCTCGGAGGAACGCAGACAGCTCCTTGTAACCTCGGAATCTGAAACTGCTCTCCGTGTCTGTGCTCTTGACCAGCTGGTCTAAACCTTGGCCCAGAGAGAGGGCCTTAATTAAGCTCTCAAACTCTTCATCGGATGGGTTATGAGTTGGCTGGGGTCCAGAAGGTGACAGGCCGTTAGGTTCTGTGTGAAGCCGTGTCAATCGGAAATCAACCACTTCCGCTCCTTTCTTGGACACGGTGGCGTAAGTCCTCACAGGTTGATATCTTTAAAAAAAAAAAAAAAAAAAAAAGGCAGTGTATCTGCTGTACCTGTACAGGAATTGTGCTACTTGTCTCATCATTGAAATCTTACCCATGGGCGGAGGCAGTGATGGAATAAGTCCCAGGGACCAGCAGTCTCCAGTAGTCACCAGTGTGAGCTGTGGTGATGTTGTGGTCAATGCCCTCTACCTGAATGGTGGCATTGGGGATCCCCATGCCATCCCTTATGTCAGAAACTGTACCTTTGATCCCATGGTGAACCTGGAGGTTCACGCAGACGTGCACGCATGGTAAACGCAAAACAGTGATGAAAAGGAAAAATATTACAGATCATTTAACGGTGTTGGTTACCTGATGGATAAACTGAAGCAAAGATCGACGATTTTGTTCCCAATAGTTTGGCAAATCCTTGGCCCAGGGGTACTTCACGCAACCCAACTCAATAGTCACCTCAAAACAGTTAGTGTTTAAGTAATTCCAGTCCTGCATGCCACCTGGGGAAAATGTTCTTTTTTTCAGTTAACATATTGACATTCACATAGTCAATAGGTAATACTACTGTTTTCATTTTCGGAGATCCTGAGGTGTTTACCGATACTTGAATTTTTTTTTATCAATTCCACCACAGCCCTTAATTAATGTACGGTACATTCATGAGCATATCTACAGATCTAATGATTCAAGGTATCATCTAACTGCCTAACGATACAAGACATCTGACTTAAGATAATAAAAACATTGTCTTTACCAATAATGGTCTTTATCGAGATTCTTTTAACAGTATATTATGCTGTAAAATTATACAAAACTATTGCAATTGTACTACACAAGGCACAAAGAGTAGCTGATGTCCGAGCCTGTGATCCTATCCATATTTGTTGTTTTGTACTTTATGCGTGTCCATCAACCCACCAGCAACATTGTACCAGCTGGCGCCATTGGTGATGCCATCCGCAAAGTATTCCCCGGGATACAGGTTGACACAAGGGTGCCCACTGTGCATCAGAGGATTTTCCTGCAAGTGCATGACAACACACAAGAAAAAAAATAAATAAATAAAAATAACCCACAGAGTGCTGTTGTATGACCTTGCCTCATAAATGATTTACTGGGCCAGGGGGGGCTCTTCCATTGCATTTTGCTTTCAGTTACAACATGAAACCACAAGTAGAAACAACACAAGCTGGAAGTAGCAATTCAGTTACCTGTGAGTAGGTTCGAGCCAACTGCTGAAAAACCTTGTCGTCAGGTGACTTGCTGTACTGGGTTTTGCCCTCTTGATCATCATCAAAGGGGTAGTTGACCACCATAGAACCTGAACTTACAAAGAGTACGGAAAGAGGACCATCGATTAAAACGGTGTGTAGATAGAAAAAGTACAAAACACCCAAGTTGTACAACGCAGTATTTTGTAGTATATTGTTACAAGTAGACGTGCCTCCATGAAGATTGGCTGAGAGGACGAAGGGGTTGCTTTTCAGCCAGTTCATCACGGCGATAGTCTCTGGCTGCCTGGGATCTTTGATGATTGCAAACTGGTCTGGGAAGTTGCGATTCAGGTCAAAATTGTTGCTGTTGTTGCGCCCTCTGTAGCCTCTCACGTCACCTGTGAGGAGACAATTGCAGTGGATCATCTCTACTGATCTGCAAGAGGTAACAGGATGACGAAATGATCTGTTCTGGAATTGTATTTATAACTAACTACTAATTAGATACTGAAGAAAAGAGCAGACAATCAAAGTGTGTACATTAGATACAGTAATGCACAGCAACAAGAAGCAACTGCTGACATGCAAATATCGTGCATTCACAGATCATTATATTGTTCATTGTTTCTGTCTCTCTAATTTCTCCCCCTGGAGCTAAATTAGATTACCAAAATATTAGAAACACATAGTTCTACACCAATGCAAATTGCAAAAACAATTATAAACAATGCAGGGCTCAACATTAAATTTGACACTGGTAGCACTAGTGCGACCAACTTTCTCAGCACAGATTGGGTCACACTTTTTTTTTTGGGGGGGGGGGGCGGTCCAGCATGACCATATTTGCTGATGTATAGTTGTCTCATTTGGCATAGCGTCGTTTCGGATGATGTAAAACTTGATCGTGACTGAATATATATTTGCTAAATATTTTACTGGAACAACAACTTTGTTTGCAACAACCAACGGCTGACAAAACAGGTTAGTTACTTTATATAACATTAAAAGAAGACAAAAAGAAAAAAAGAACAATGAGAAAAAAAAAAACTTTTTTTTTTATATGACCTACAAAGCGATTCATTCTTGCCTTTCTATAGCACATCATGGCTTCTAGGACCTTTTACACAATTAGCATGATGATTAAATTAGAATCTGATATTGTTACACCTTAACCCACGGAACTAAAGAAACAACAGAAATGGAAATGTGAGTTAAATGTGACCCTGCTACATATCATAAAGTGTTATGCATACTCTGTTTTCTTCTCTTACCTTCATTGGCCACCTCATAACCATCAGGGTTCATCGAAGGCATGATGTGAATGCGAGTGTTGTTGACCAACTCTGTGACTTCCTGGTCGGTGCCATAGTTAAGGCATAGGTACTCAATGAGGTTGAGCAATAGTTCCCGGCCAACCACTTCATTGCCATGCATGTTGCCCACATATTTAAACTCTGGCTCACCTAGTAGGCAACGAGAGAGAGCAGCAAAATTAAAATTCCTCTTAGACAATGGCTTTGTTTGTTATGAGACATACCCCCCCACCACAAAAAAAAAAAAAGTTTTTTTTACCATGTTCATGAACCGTGGGGTTGTTTGAGATGACCATCACATAGAGCTCTTTGTTTTCCACAGAGCGGCCAATAGAGTAAAGGTGAGCAATAGACGGGAACTCGCTGCTGTACTTGCGTAAGAAGAGCTCCATGTCTGCATAGTTGTGGTGGCGAAATTCCTGGGGTTGAACAGGTTGTGGAGCAGGTGGCGACGCAGTGGGTGTGCTTTTAATTCCCACTGATGTCACCAAGTGGAACTGAGTGGAGGGAGGGGTTTGTGTATTTGAGGTGGAAGTATAGATATCAGTGGTTGACGGCATGGAGGGTGTGGTCAGCGTGACATTGCCTGAGAGATTTGGCTCAAAGGCAACCGGTTCCAAAACAAAATTAAGTTCTGTGGCATTTCCATCCAAGACCTGTACATTGTTGACCGTCACTGGTGTGTACCTGTGTAATGAGAAAATATTTTTAGTTCCACCTTAAAACACGTTTATGCACCAAAATATATATATATATGTATATGAAAATACGATACGGTGAAACACATTGTGTTGTTTGTTTTGTTGTTAAAGTAGAACAAAATTCAAAACTGTTCCTTAAATCATATAATTTGGAATTCAACATGCATTTTCTGGAAAAATACACTTGTGAAGTTTTAAGTGGAGTTTAAGAGGCGAAAACTTAACCATGGTCCAAATCATATCAAAATGATGGCAGAGTGCAAAATTTGTTTTTAGTTTTTTTATTAATTAAAAAAAGTCTTCACCCATGACAATGCTCTATAATGTCATTGAATCTCCTTGCGCAAGACTCCCTCTTCACTTCCTTGTACACGTCCTTTGTAAAAGGTAGTTTTGTTTAGCTCAGTTGTAGTCTTACTTTTATGACAGTTAAGAATGTTAAATGATACTTCAACATGGTGGCAACAGGCTGGAAGAAATATTTTCCAATATTCTTGAGGGGAAAAAAAAAACGAAACAGCGGTCAGTCAGCATGTTCAACCTCTGGTTCCACAAAATTTTATTGTGTTGGCCAACGTTGTTTTTCTGTATATTTCACAATATTTCAGCAAGTATGCATTTAAGAACAGTAATAACAATCTTTAGTGTGACTCACCCTGTGGCCACAGCAGTGATGTTGTAGACTCCTGGGAGCAGAAGTCTGTAGTAGTCGCCAAATCTTCCAGTGGTCAGGTTGTGGCGGATGCCTGCTACCACTATGCTGGCATTGGTGAGGGCTGAACCACTCACGTGATCTTTTACATAGCCACGGACACCAATATGGACCTAGGCACAGACAATCTCATAAAAAAGATGTATTTTCCGTACTGTAAGACGCTTCGGAGTATAAGGCACACCTTCAATGAGTGGCCTATTTTAAAACTGTTTTCAGATGTAGGGCGCACTGCATTATAAGGCGCATAGAACAGAAGCTACAATCGTAGCTGAGGGTGCGTTATGCATCCACGAGATGGAGCTACGCATAAAGGGAATACAATATAATGCAGCTTGACATATATAGAGTTTTCACAAACACCGCAGCTGCAACAAAGAACTTTAAAGAACATTTCAAAATACTTTGTCCCAGAAATAAGAATATTGAGCTATATTTCGGGTGCATAGGATTATAAGCCTTATAGTGCGGAAAATACGGTAAACACATTTTAAGGCGTGATATTGGCGTTGTCCTGTGAAAAACATGCATGTGCCTTTTTGTCATTTTCAAAATTTTTACAATTGGATATCAGACACGTGGACACCCCATATGACAAAAATGGACATGCATGCTTTTCACAGGACAATGACAATATGATATTCATTGAAGTAAACATGGTCCGAATGCTAATGACCCAGACGAACAAACCTCGTTTGCAGAAATGAACCCAAGAAATTGTAAAAACACAATGATTATCCAGTAAAGGAGTCCTGGTAGGGTTATGTGTAGGCCTATATCCCCGATTTATTCATGGATTGTTAGTTAAAATTGCTCATACCTGAAATATTTTTGCGAAAAAGGTTAACAAAAACCTAAATGTCCCCCCCCCCCAAAAAAAAAAGATTTGAAGTCGTCTCTTCCAAACCTCTCCTTCAAGTAGACTTCAAATCTAGCGTCGAGTATAAATCTAGTCTGTACAGACCTGATCAATTATAGCTTCGAATAATCAAATATGTTGTCTACCTGCTCAATGTAGGCCAGGAGAGGCTCTTTGTTCAGCTCCCATTCCTTGTAGAGTTCAGACGCTTGGGGATATTTGCAGCAGCTCAGCTCAAGGGTGATTTCAAAACAGTTCGCATGGAGGTAATTGTAGTCCTGCATCCCCCCTGCATTACCAAAAATGATACTCATTCAAACATTAAAAAGAAATTCCCATGAGTTATTTCTACAGATAATCTTGTTTTCATACAATGTCCACAGGTGAGAAATTTTAAATTCTCCAAAAGGCACCATTCAAAGATGCATGGCCACAAGCCAAGCATTTCTTGCTTTCCACAAGTGGAAAAATTAGTTTCAAAACTGTTTGAATGGATGTAATTGTGGATGGAAGGATGGCTTATTTTCACGTTGTTTTAAGAGCAAGTGTAGAATATAGGCCACAAATATGAAAGGTACAGCTCTTCAGAATGAATTCCACCTTTAACAATAGTCATGTTGAAATGTTTTCAGCTGTCCAATTTTTGAGCTTTATGCCCTTCTTTGCTCATTTTGACAGTGGATCACGTAAGCGGATGTGTCAGAGCGAGATGCCAGAGGTTTAACTTCTGTGGTCGCAGCAAAGACAGCAGGGTGCTATGTAAACCAAGCAAACCTCAAAGTTAACCTGCTAATGACATGCAAATGATGTTACACCAACAACACGTGGCAATAATTCAACCTTGGCAGTTACCAGACTGACAAAAGACATTACCTGAACCGTCATCCGTTAGACTCAATGGTTTTAAACTGAATGACTGATGTAAACAGATTACACAAGGTAAACACGGTCTTGTATGCTGACTATGACTGCCCTAAGATAGCTACGATAGCTCAGTGTTAATGTCCCGGATCCAGAGTCACACCCTGGACAATGGAGCATAAACATCAGGTGACAAAGGTGCCAAAGTTTGTGAAGCTGAACTCTTCAATAATTTGAGGAACTGCGTGTCAAACCTGACTGTTTCATAAATAAAATTAAAAGTAACACAATAAGCAGAAAGCAAGAATAAGGAACAATATTTTAAAATTGGTATCGATTGTGATAACACACACCAATGTCTGGTTGTACATTGAAACAGACTTTGATCCTGTGAGAAAGAAGAGGCAAAGTAGACCAAAGTTACAATGTAACCAACGCATGCTCCTTCTCTGTAACAGGTCACATCATGACACTAAGTCATCTTTACAATGATTATTTTCTGGGCCTCTTACCTGGTACATCGTACCACTGCGCCCCATTGGTGATACCATCTTTAAAAGTCTCGCCTGGTGTATCGGGACAGTTGGGTAGCCCGGTCTTCATCACCGGGTGGTTCTTGGAATACACCAAGGCTAAGTAGCGAAAAAGGCTGTCGTCCGCTGACTGGCTATAATAGCCTTGCTGCTGATGGATGGCTGAGTCATCAAAAGGGTAGCTGGCGACCACAGTGCCACCGTGCAGGTTACCAGAAAGAACAAACCTAAAGAGGAAAGGGGACGTTATTATGGTCGCCCGCAAGGATTGGCATACACCACAGGTGTCAAAGTCAAGGCCAGATCCAGCCCGCCACATCATTTTATGTGGCTTGCGAAAACAAATCATCTGTGTCAACTTCCATGATCCTTGCTTAAATCTGAACCGAAAACTCAAATTGTCATACGTAATAAATAATGGTGACATTTTGCAATAATTCTGTTACCCTGTTTACACTCACTTGACAATAATTGAACAAATCTTTGACTGATTTCAAAACTAGTGAGCCATCATTTTTTTGTGTACAAATAATAATGCGATGTGATGATTAAATATTTATTCGGTGCCACTGTCTTAACGGCCCTCCGAGGGAAGACGTAACGAACTGGCCCGCGACCAAAAAGAGTTTGACACCACTGCCATATACGCAAAACTCCAAAGTTGAATGCCCATCTCAAATTGCACCAAAACATTTAACATATTTTAAAGTCTCTCCCTCTTCTAACACACACAATTAAAAAAATCTGGATTGTGATCAGGCTTCTCAGCGCTTGCTGATGCTCTATCTATCTAGTTGGGATTATGAGGTACACACATTGCTCCGTTTGACACCAATGCAGAAGTTGATTCTAAACTTGGGGCAACCATACCTCATACAAGTAGCGGGTTTTCTGTGCTTGTTCGTGTGTTTACTTACTGTTTGTCCTGTATCCATCTGATGACAGCCATGACCTCAGGAATGGTCTCTGGGTTTTTAATTCCTTTACCATACTGGTCAGGGAAGCTCCTGTTAAGGTCTTTGTTATTGGCATTGTTTCGTCCCCCTCTATGGCCGGCACAGACTCCCTCTTGGGACACCTCGAAGCCGTCGGGGTTCATACTGGGCATGATATAGATATCCGTCGTGTTTACCAGTTCAGCTATCCGCCGTTCCTCCGCGTATTTAGTGAGCAAGTAATCCACAAGATAGACGAGAACCTGCCTGGACACGGTCTCGTCGCCGTGCATATTGCCAATATATTTGAACCTAGGTTTCCCCGGGGACTCGATGTGGGGGTCTTTGGTGATCCGCATCACCCAAAGCTCTCTGCCCTGCACGGACTGACCGATGCTCGACAGGTTCGCAATGTGAGCGTATTTCTGGGCGTAGGAGCGCAAACGCCCGGTGAGTTCGATATAATTGTAGTATTTGTCGTAGTTTTCTACCGTTTCGCCAGTCGAGGCGCTTGGTGTCGGAGGTAGCCTGGCATCCGTGCCGCCGAGGTGAAAAGCAATACAGACAAAAGAGACGAAAAGTGGCACCCGCAGTTTTTCCATCGCAGACTTTGATTTCCTTCTGTGCGCCATGTTTATTTTTCGACCTCCACACCAGTCGGAAAATCACTATAGAAAGAAAAATCCCAGTCACATTTGAACTGCTACAAATATCGCGTTTTCTTGATCGTATCCTCCGGCCTCAGCCTGCTAGCGACAACTTCCTTTTCACCCAAAAGGGGCGGGGCTTCCATGTGAGGAAGCGTTTTTTTCAAGGTGACTGGAACGTTCATCTGTTTTTTTTTTTGTTGTTGTTTTTTGTTTTTTTAGCATTTTTGACGTATCGGGAGTTCATATACCAGGCAGACTGCTATTAACTCGTTTTGTTATCATTTATTGTTTTATTTGATAAAGAAAAGTGTTTTTGAATTGTAATATTGACAATTTTGTCAATTAAAAAAACAACGCCATTAACTCTCATATATTATCCATGAGCAATGAATTGTAATTCAGGGGTAGGCAAAAAGCCACTTGCAGATCTCCTTTGCGCACGCGTGAGGATCGAGGTGTAAATAAAGAGTTAGAGAGGCTACCAAACAAGCGGTTTTGTATTACAGTACAGAACATAAGTGTATACCTTAAAGCTTGCAGGCATTACTTAAAAGGAGTGCTTCTCAATTACTTTCTGTTACGCCCCCCCAACAAGAAGAAAACTATTTGCACCCCCCCACTCTCTGCCGCCACTATAAATATCACGTCAATAAAATTGTTATAAGTACGCCTCTGCATTACATTGTGCCCTTGTTAACATTAAAGAAAAGAAAAAAATAAAGAAATATAGTTCAATTTACAGTAAAGAATCACTTTATTAATATAGTTTCGTCGTCTGTAACAGAAAATATTTTAAGTGCATGGGTGACTTTCTTTTGTCTCATTGTCTCTCTACGCTTTTCTTTTCATCCCTGTTAAAAAAAAAAAATCATGTTGTCTCCTGGAGCTATGTTTACCGCTCGGTGCAAAAAAAAAAAAAAAAAACCCTGCCTCCTCCCTGCGCACTCTCTGACAATGAGGGCGCCACTGAACTGCTGTAGTGGATATGCAATTCCACTTTATTTATTTTTCTTCGGCCAAAAAAAAACGCATGCTCCCCAGAGTCACACGCAATTTAGAGGCCTGAACGTTGGCGTTCCAAAAAAAACAATAAAAAAACGTGATTGCAACGCAGTGTAAAAGTCCGTTCATTCGTCACAATTTCCCGACAGAAAAAGATCCAGACTGACGAAAAAGATGGACTAAAATTGTAAAATGTCTTTAACACATTTATCCATCTATCCATCCATCCATTTTCCGATCCGCTTATCCTCACAAGGGCCATGAGTGAGATTGAACACCGAATTGAAAGACACAGTTCAAACAAATACGACTCATAGCAGCAGACACTTGTTTTACGCTTTATTTCGACTTGTCCATTATCTCTTGCACTTGCAGTGAATGACATCATAACCTCACAGACATCTCAAGACACCTTCATTTTTCTCCTCTTCTCAGGGAGTCAGCAGCATATCTCTGCTGCTGCTCTCTTTCTCCCTCTCTTTATCGTTTATTCCATTCAGTCATCTGTTTTTCTAAGCTTCCATCAAGCAACAGAACAAAGCAGAAGTGCGGCAGACATTTTGGTGACGTAGCACCAGGGAATGCTGGAATGATTATGGAGGAATGAGGAGGAGGAGGAGGAAGCTGCGGAGCTTTTTGGCAAAGGAGACGTGAGCTCTCATTGCTGGATGCGACGCAGTGACTGCACCTGGAATGATTGAGCATGGGAGCCCCATTCTCTGTAATGTTTGTACTCGCCACCATGGCGATCACACTCCAGAATGTACTGATAACCACGGTAACCAGGGAACTGGTAGCACACCCAGCTGTAGCAAAAGTAGAGGTGAAATATGCTGATTATGGTATAATACAGTGAACGTTTGATTTTGAATTGCCCTCTCAATCCTGAAAGTCATTATCCGTACAAATGGACACAACTTACGCGCCACTCTGAACTTGCATGGATCCAATCTCATTGGTTCCCCAGCCCATAGCCTGCAGTGATGGGTAGTCATCGTTTATCTCCCACTGGTGTCCCGTAAAGTTCTCTTTCTCAAACACCACCATCTTAGACTCCTTGTGGTTCTGTAGGACATCCATTCTGTATTAGTCAACACCGGTGCCCGTTATTTATAGCTTTATCCAGCAGTTAGTCGTTCAGCTCTAATGATCAGTGAGTCAGACTGTGTGCTTTCTGAATCCGTTTCACACAAAGACTCACAGCAGAGCAGATGGGGCGGAAGGACATCATCCTCTCAGTGTGATAGGCATTGCTGCCACTCCAAGACTCCCGATGAGGGTACTCTCCTCTCTCCAAAACAAACTGCTGTCCACAGAAGCTGGAGTGCTCATATCCTGTCCAACTATCCCAACATGCAATGTCACACAGTTCAAGACTATTGGGGACTGGCAGAACCTGATCACGTGGGAGAAAGATGCTTGTGGAAATGCTTATTGCCAGAAAACCGGCTTCTTAGTCACCCACTATCTTTCCATCCATTTGTGCATTTTGTAAAGCACTAGGAGCCGCGGCCAATCAAAATTGAGTTGAGACGAAAGATTGACTGTATGATCCTCTGTCAATCGGAGGATAACTGACAATGAGGCTCGGACTGTCAATTGAGCGCAGACGAACCAGTGAGTGGCACAGCTGTGTGCATTGAGAAATCATCCGGTATGTTGTGCAAAATGTATCCACTTTTACTTAATTGCGCCGAAAAATGTCATTTATTCACGACAAATCGTGTATCTTCATCTATCCGAGAAAATAAATGCCTCTGACCACTATATGGAATTAATACAGTCTGGTCGGTCATCTGAGTTATTTCAATATTCAGTTGCATGTGTATGTTTCACACCATTGGTTCTCAAACTTTTGACAAATACCATCTCAAAAGGCATTTTGCTCTCCAAGTACCACTACAATGGCAAATATTAAAATACATTCCAAAATATACAAGGGCTGAGGTTTAAGTCCTAAAAACCATAAAAGTTAAATACAGCTGAACTGTAACGTATTGTACTTCGAAATTTTTTTTTTTTTTAAAAAGAGGTACGGCACTATACTGGATGTTAAAAGTTTAAAATGGCTGTAGCATAGCAACAAGCTTCATTCTAATATGTACATCATATCTTAAATGTTGTATATTTGACTTCTATTCATGTCAGTGATTCTTTCACATCCCACGAGAGAGAGCCCGCGTACCACTAGAGGTACTCGTACCAAACTGTAAGAATCACTGATGTGTACTACTCATGACTTACGCTCCACACTCCACCTTGAGGGAGCGGATGTTGTCTGTGCCAGATTCCATGATGTTCTGGCAGGAGGAGGTAAACTCCATACGCTTTCCCTGGAAGTTCTCCTGGTCGTAAACTGTGATCTGTAGTGAACATAAATGCATACATGTGCACATGACACACACTGACTGCTTTGCGTGGACAAAATCAGCCCAAGCATTTCAAACTACTGATCACCTTCCATGGTCCCTGTGGATTGGGGTTGTTCTGAGCCATGCTGTCGTGTCTCGTAGGAGAGATTTACCTTCAGAGCAGAGAGATAGAGAAATCATGTTGATGCTGTATTTTTAAATTGAAAGGCACATTTTGGGAATCCTATTCACATTGGACTAAAACAGACAAAACTCATATTTACATTTGTATTCAACAAACATTTTTTTGCGCTCTAGATGGAATTGTCACAATCTAACGGGGGTCCAATTGAAGAGCTGTGTAAAATATTTCTGCCATTACAAAGTTAATAATGAACATTCTCAATTGACACTGGAATCACAGTGTTATTTTAACACTACTTTACTGTATATCAGACAAAATATTAGAAATTACAGATGGACTATTTAGGGTACTGGACCGGATCTCGTCCAGTTGTGAAAGTGCAGCTAATGCTGTGGTCGTTGAGCTTTCCTCGATATTGGGTTTGCACATGCTCAATTGTTGTATGTCCTCTCTGTGGCTGCCCAGTGTGTGGTTGGACTTCACATATACATTCATGTGTCTCAGCAGAAATAGACAAGGCAAGGGACACGCCAATGTAAAGTGACAATGCTCCGCTATAGGCTGAATACAATGATGGCTTACCTGACCAAGCCGCAAAGAATAGCCTCGCAGTGTTCACAAGGGGGGCTCCACAATAACGCGTTCCGACCCCAGAGCATATGGGACTATTTATACACGGTGGTGCTGAAAAGTAACAGGGCTTGCGGCTCCGGACCACAGTCAGCACATTGCTGCTCACGCCATTGTTCAACACTGAGCTGCTGGGTTTTAAATGTGCCACAGTAGTACTAGATGACGGGCAACATGCCCGGTGCAGATAAGCACAAGTTGCAAAAGAAAAGCAGAACAAACACGGCGTCGAGCGGAACACTCACTCCCGCAGGTCTTCTGAGTGAAAAGGGAAAATTATGTGAATTTAAGAGAGATGTGATCATGTATTCAGTGAGATTTAGGGCTTTTATAGTCTCATAAACAAGTTTAATTTGAATTGAAAGAAAGCACTTACAGGTTTTCGTCCATCTCTCTTCCACGTGCATCCCCAACAAGCGCATATCACTGCTTTCGCCCCTTCTCTAACTTCTTTGTGCACACATGCACAGTAATGCACATGCACACAACTGTCATTGACAGAAGTGCATTCAATCACCCATGCAAGGCGCACAATGAAATACACTTACATGACTGTTTACACTCATTCAAACTGACCTTGTCATCTGCCTTGGTGTTCTAACTTAATTTAGTAAATATGTTTTTGCTTTCCTGACGCAGCATATTATCACTTTCATTCAAAATAAAATGCGTGTTTCTAAATACAGGACCTGATCCCCAAGCAATTGTGATGTCATTTTCAGTCAACAGCAAGTAGCAACATGGCCTGATATATTGCTGTCCATCACATTTTTGGGTTGACATCCCGTTTAATGTTCATGTTGCATAACTTGATGATTGCAAAAAGAAAGCATTAATCATTTTATAGTTGCATGAGTAAAAGTCTTGTATTTTGTGCGAGTAGCTATCATCTAAACTACTACTGTGACATGTGTTGTAAAACTCTCTGAATACTGTATAGGCTATCATGTAGCATTATAATACAGTAATTTGTCATACAGCATAGTTGCACAGTAAAACAATTTTGAATTGACATACAGATACACAAACATTTTAGTTGTATGGCATGACATTTACCATTCAGTAATTGCAGGCAGGCATTGTATGCAAACTTCCTCTGTCTGTCTTCTTGTGCTTTCCCTTTCGGCTTTTCCCTCTAGGGGTCGCCACAACGAATCGGTTGCCTCCATCTAACTCTGTTTTGTGCATCCTCTTCTCTCACACCAGCTACCTTCATGTCCTCTTTCATTACATCCATCAACCCCTTCCATGGTCTTCCTCTCGACGAAGCATCCTTCTCCCAATATATTCACCCTCTCTCCTTTGGACATGTCCAAATCATCTCAGCCTGGCCTCTCTGACTTTCTCTCCAAAACCTGTAACATGAGTCGTCCCTCTGATGTACTCATTCCAGATCCTATCCAACCTGGTTACTCAAAGTGCCTGAGGTGTTTGTTTTCTCTAACTTTCTGACACTGTGAAGCACATTTCCCCGAACACCTTAATAATTCGGAGATTTCATTGTACCCAGCACAGATTCAAACGGTCTGTGCTAGATAGCGCAAAACATCCTCCGTGCAGGAAATAACCCAACCTCCTCCATGTTTCATACTTGCTACAGTGTCAATTGTTGGATCCCTTCTGTCAAAGAATGAAAGAGCTGCAACCCGTCATTGAAACAACTTGATGCGACTGCAGTTTGCCAAAATTCGTAATGACAAATCACACTTCTGGGATAACGTCCTTTGACAAAAGAGACTACAGTATATTTTTGGCAAACCACATCAGCTCCGTGTTCAAAGCTGCAAAAATGAAAACTAACAGAACAAAATGGGCACGACCAACAGTAAAAGATGGAGGAGAATTGATTATTCTCCGTGATTGATTTGCTGCAGCAGGCACAAGGTGTCTTGTAGACCTAGCTGTACTCGGTCTAATGAAATCCCTGGACAATCAAGGTCTCCTATAGTGTCAGAAAGCTGTTTATTGATCCTCCAACAAGGTAATGACCCAAAATACCATCATTTTTAAAAACAATTCTGTTGGACAACGCAACGCAATGTCTAATTATAAATGTGTGTCGATAGTTTTCCTACAGTCGGTATACACCAGGTGTAATAAACATCGGCCTTAAAAGCATGGAGAAGTAGCCAAATTCTTAAAGAGAACGTTAAAGCCAAAAGTCAGAAACTGTAGAGAATTTAAAATGTTAGAAGGGCTTCGAAAAGACGCTGAACACTGGCGAAAGTGTGTGTGTGTGTGTGTGTGTGTGTGTATGTGTGTGTGTGTGTGTGTGTGTGTGTGTGTGTGTGAGTGTGTCTCGGTGTGTGTCGGGTGTGGGCTGTTAACCATTATGCTGATGACAGTGAGTTGCCCCACTTCCAACAATGAGACTGTACAACAAAACAGTCAGCCAAGTCAGCATGATTTGTCGCAGCATCATGACCTTTGGACCCCCACTCTGTGGTCCAAAACAGCCGTCAGCCAATGAGAAGTCGGAAACCTCTCTCTGTACTATCTTACTACCGGACGTAAATGTATATATACATCCTCACTCGCTGGTTCACTACCTATTACTGTCTCTTAAGATCGACCTATTTCACGCTGCTTGTGCAAAAGTAAGTTTTCTGTATAAACTGGATGAGCGATGAGACTGTTGTTTTTTCCTGTATGTGGATTTTCCTCATGAGCACTGAGTGAGCAGATGGAACATTGACATAAAATGCAGCAGGGTGTGATTTAATTCTTCTCTTCCTATTCAGCAGCTCTCTGGAGATGTAAAACTGACAACACCAAAAAAATGGAAGGCTGCATCTCATTTTAATTTGTCTTTTTAATTAAATGCGTCTATTTTACATTTGTGGCCTTTTGGGCAAATAGGTTTTCGTCACAAGAAACATTCTGGGGATATAACTGAAGAATGGCGAAGTCTTTTCGATCTGAATGTTGATTGAAATGGATTATATTAAGTTGAAAATAACTTGCCATGTCAAATTATGGAATGATGGTGCAATTTTTTTAACTGTTCAAGAGTGGAAGTGTGAAAACACTGTAAACATGTCGGTGTGTTAAAGGTATGTTTCTCTGTAGATCTGACGATGTCTCACTCAGGCGCTCAAGGCAGCATCGGCAGCCACTCTGCTATGGGGCTACGTAATCATAAGGTAATAAAAAGTACATCCATGAGATGAACGAGCAGATAAATTATTTGGAGTTGATGAACTATCCAATCTATTGTGCTCCTCCCTAGATTTACCTCTATGAATTTGAAAACTTCCAAGGCCGTAGAATGGACCTAATCGCGGAGTGCCGTAACCTCTGCGAGCAGGGTTTCGAAAGAATCGGCTCCATCCGGGTAGAGAATGGGCCGTAAGTCTTGAGTGTCACAGTGCCATCATTGTGGAGTATCTCCGGTGGTAAAATAAAGATGTGATGTGTCTGTCTTTGTCTGCTTCTGTGTGTGTGTGTGTGTGTGTGTGTGTGTGTGTGTGTGTGTGTGTGTGTGTGTGTGTGTGTGTGTGTGTCATTGCAGCTGGGTAGGCTTTGAGCAACAAAACATGACTGGTGAAATGTTCATGCTGGAGAAAGGAGAATACCCTAGATGGGACACCTGGTCCAACAGCTATCGATGTGACCGTCTTATGTCAATCAGACCAGTAAAAATGGTAAGTTCAGTATTAGCGATATTCAATGTCAGGTCAGGAAACAGACATCTCTCACCCTGTGGACGATCTAAAACCCATCTTTCACACACTGCCAACTATACAATACATTTAAGACGCAAAAAAGAAATGAACCAAAAAAAAATGTGTACGGTATTTGTTGATTACGTAAAAAAAAAAAAAAAAAAAAAAAAAACTTGCTTCACAATTGTTAACCACCCTTGTCAAGCCATCAAAATGTGTCCATTTTTATACTTGGTCAGCGTTTTGAGATTGAACATTCTTTTAAAAGAATTAACTGAACCACATATTTTGACTTCATTTAAAAAACTGTGCCACAGATTTACAGAGACCAAGACAAATCTTTGCTTTATATTAGTCCTTGTCTTGTGATTGTTGAGAATACTTTTATTGCTGCCAATTTCTCCCCCTTAATGACAATATGCAGATTGATAAACAGCAACTAATTTAAAAAGTTTTGTTTGCATTTGCAGGACCCCCAGGACCACAAGATTTGCCTGTATGAGTGCACGAATTTCGAAGGTCGCAAGATGGAGGTGTGTGATGAGGATATACCAAGCCTGTGGTCTTACGGCTTCCAGGACCGCGTCGCTAGCATTCAGGTCACTGGCGGAATGTAAGTATTTCCCTTTAGCGCTCCATATGATTTGGAACGATGTGTCCAACCATGATAAAATGGAAGTGTAAAACGAGAGACATGCAAACTACAAACACAACAACAAGTTGGTTGGTGAAGTGTATACTGAACGTAGAGTTATGGTTTATGCCATTTTCTTCATAGGTGGGTGGCCTACCAGTATCCTGGCTACCGTGGTTTCCAATATGTCATGGAAATAGGCTCTTTCAAGCACTGGAATGAGTGGGGAGCCCACCATCCCCAGATTCAATCCATCCGTCGGGTGAAAGATATGCAAACACACCGCAGAGGCTGCTTTGAGTTGACTGCGTAGAGCCGGCTTTGGGCAAAAGGATCGCGCTTTACTGCAAGTCACTTGCAAAGTCTTCACTGACCACGTTCCTGTGCAAAGTACATCTTTTCTGAATATTGTGACTGATTTTGTCAGCACAGTTTGGGAGTAAATAAGGCTTCCCCGGTAGCTGCACTATTGGTAAAATGCAGCAGGTAGCAATGCTCTCTGTCTCCAGACCTCATATGAACGATAAGAGAATTTTCTGTATCAGGTTTCCATGACAGCTTGTTTCAGTGCTTTTGTTTTTTATCGATGCACTTATGTGTGTCCTGAACAATAATGTCAATCAACCCGCATAGCACAATGTTGAGTTATAGTCATTCCACATAACCGTATAATCATGGACAGATCTGCATATGCCGCCCTGTAGTCGATATCTTCTCAGAATAACACACAGGACCTCCGGAGGCTGCATGTGCAGGGCTCTTCTTTTTGCAGACATCATTTTTTTTTTGGCTAGTCCACTTGAGCATTTCAATGGGCCCGCTAAGAAGACTTAGATTGACAACGTCTCAGGGATGCTGGCATCTGGAACTTTCCAGTGAAAACAAAAAAAAATGCAAACTTTGCCAAATTGTCAAACTTTTGTCCTTGTTTTTTGCAGTGTTCTTTCATTGTTTTGCATTTCATTGAATAATATTGTAAGAATACATTATGCCTTTGTATACCTATATGCTCTGCATAATTATTCGTTGAAATAGCTTAACTTGTATCCATGATCGAAGGCATCTTCCTCTATTTTGACAAACATTTCCCGCAGCAAGGTATGTCATCTCCAACTCATTAGAATACATGCATGAAAAAAAACTCAGGCAAATCATGTGATCATCTTGCAAAGATGGGTTTCATTTGGGTTTCGTATCGATAGACTATTTGTAGTCTCTTTTCCTCCAACAGTCCACAAACATGCATGTCAACTTAATTGAAGGCTAAACATGCATGTGAATGTTAGTGTGAATGGTTGTCTGTCTCTGTGTACCTTGCGATTGGTTGGCAAACAGTTCAGGGTGTACCCTGCCTATTCACCGAAGATGACTGGAAGGGATCCAACACGCCTGCGACTCTTGTAAGGATAAGCGGTTCAGATAGCGGCTGGATGAATATATTTATGGCCAATAAGTGAATTTATGGAGTTTATAGGAGAGATTCTTGGCTACTTTTGAAGTGCCCTTGAGCAAATCACTGCCTGCCATTAGGTAAGCTCAAAGGGCCCTGTGCTGTTTGGACTGCTTTCTCTCTTTGCACAGCTGCATGCGTGTGATTTGGTCCTCTGTGATGTGCAACAGCAAAAAATATATAGGCTGCGTACATTTAGGGTTGATCATGAGTAGGCCTATAATGCATTTCATTTACATTAAATCAGGTGGTACAAGTGGACCTAATGTGGTGGCAAGAAAGGGGGGGGGCGCGCGCGCGCGCGTGTGTGCGTGTTTTTGTGTGCGTGCGTGCGTGTGTGCGTGTGTGTGAGTGTGTGTGCGCGCGCGCGCGCGTGAGTGAGAGAGAGAGAGAGAGAGAGAGAGAGAGAGAGAGAGAGAGAGAGAGAGAGAGAGATGGAGAACATGTAGACGAGCAGACGAGTGGAGCCTGTCATGACGGCGCGCGCGGCGCTCGTTTAAAGCCGCAGGATTTGGATTAGCCTGTATGAGAGCCGATGAGTCTTGAGGTAGTGAAGGAGGAAGGGAGGAAGCAAGGGAAGAAGGGAGGGAGCTAAGGGCTGATTTTGATCTTTTTCGGGATCGAGGGGAGAAGAAGGGAGGTGCGAGGCACGGAGAATGGGCTATTTTAGACCCGGGCACTGAGAGCGTTCTTTGCGCGGAGTATTAGGCAGCCTTCGACGCAAGCAAATCGCCTCCCGCGGCCACCGCCAAGTCGACGACGCCGACATCTCCATCGACTTCCCGTCAGGATAGCGCCAGTTCTCGCCAGCCTGCTTCACGCTCAAGTGGTCTTCGCTGGACATGAAAGTGCAGCAAGGCTGCAACTCATCAGACATGGGCATACCCGTCACCACCGAAGAAGAACTGCGCCGAAACAGCGTCATCACACCCGAGGATGTGCTTGGCTTACAGAAAATCACCAAGAGTAAGTAGCCGTGTCTCTTTGGAACCTATACGCTTAATTGGCAACATGGAGGCGTGCGGTTAAATCCTCGCTGCTTCCGATTAGGATTGCCCATCTGCTCGTGTACCCTGTGTGTTACTTATTTGTCCTGCAACAAGACATTTGCATTCAATGAGGTCTGAAGGAACCTTTATGCACCATGGACAGCGACACAAAAAAAACTCCAAAGGAGTAAACACGGTGTGCATGAATGCAATCCCTGTTAGAACGAAACAAACCCATTGGAAGGAAACAACTGTGACTTTAGTTTCCAAGTTGGAGACCAACCTGTAGATGGAATGTAACAAAACAGAAAGAGACAAATGTAATCCTCTGGTTAAAGATCAGATGTTAGGTGGATGAAACACAAATTGGATTTTTAGTGCCGTCATGGGAGCACAGGTGAAAACATTTTCTTTTTAACACAATTGATGACATTTGTGAAACACAACATAAACTGTCGTCAAAATAATCTGCAGACAGACAAGATTCATGAAGTAAAATTCAGTGTTGCACAATATTTACATAATAGTTATGAGTGTGAATATCACACCGGTCAACAAATTTTAAATCATTAATGCAAGGAAACTTTTTATTTTCTGAAAAGCCAAAGCTATAATTTATTTCCAACCATGCTAACATCCATACTGTGCAAGCTTTTGTAGATCAAACTTAAACACAAAACAAAAAGAAAATATCTTAAAAACTTGATGTTCAGAAAAGAATCAAGACATCTTTGAAATCAGTGTCAAAAATACATTAAGGGACACATAAAATCATCTCTGATTGATAACACAGTTGACCACTGTTATCAAGTGGTCATGATAAAAGTTCATGAAAATGTTTTGAGCGTGTTATGAAAAACTTTTATCCATCCATCTATTCTTGGAGCCGTTTATCTTTTTACTAAAATAATGTACATCATCATAACACAATTTTATTTCCCATCTATCTAGTTCTTGTACTTTATATCCTCCTTTCGGTAGCAGGTGAACCCGAGCCTATCCCAGCTGGCTTTGGGTGAGAGGTGTGCTACAGCTTGGACTGGTCGTCAGCCAATCACAGGGCACATAGACGAAACAAGTATTCACACTCACACCCAAAGACAGTGAAAAGAAAAAAATGATGCATAAAGTTGACATACAGTATGTGGTGATAGTAATATAGCCACGCAGATGGTTCATTTGTTAAAACATAATAAACACGAAATCGAAGAGGAACGTCCTGGTCGCAACGCTCTCTGGTCGTTATGGTAACGTTTAAATGTACCTTCAAAATAAGATACGCCCAAATACAAAGTGCATGAAAAATTTGGCTCACCATCGCGGCATATCATGCAGAGTGAGGTTGGTGCGTGGGAATCTCTCATTGAGATAAATCCGTATTTTAAGTCGTAGGGACTGCTGATACTGTCTGTTAAATTTAGCCTTCTTTTTCTTGAAAATTGTAGGCTCCTCTTCTGTGTCCTGGCGGGGCCTTTTCCCCTTCCCAAAGAAACTTTCCAAAGATGTTTGTTTTTTACTCATTTTGCAAGCTCCCGCGTTTCATTTTAGCTGTAACCCATCACATGACCGAGAAGTGCCCTTTGACCTACTGTAGACGGATGTAACAGAGGATCCGGTAATTTTTCAAAATAAAAAGTTTTGAATCTTTTTTGCAATATGCCTGCAGCCACCAGAGGGCCTCTACTTTCTCACTGCAAAGGACGCTAACTCCTTTTTAAACTCCTCTGAGTTTAAAAAGATAACAGCCGTGTACTAGTGTATTAACGTTCAAACATGCCTATTATGTAATTGAGTGTTTATTGAATTTTATTAAATACAGTACTAGGTTTCTTTTGTCCCTATGAATAGATGTTAAACACTCACAGTTATAACAATCAAAGAAAACAATCAAATACAGGTGTGTAAACAAGCCATGCAAACACGTTTCCACCGATTCTGGAATACTGCCTGAGTGGAGGAACTATAAATCAGTGCTGCATCAGTGAAATAATACTTAAATCAGACATGATGGTGCACTAATCCTGCCTCACCATTGACGGCATGTAATCTGGATTAGGTTTGGACAACAATATTATGCACCAACGTGGCACACAAGAGGTAATTAATGATATCCCACAACAACCAAAATGTATGCATGTTGTATGCAAAATATGTGCAGTATTTACTCTCTAAGTATCTTCTCATTTTCTTCCAGTGAGGCGCACTGACATGGAATTATTCTTTTGCTTTTTTTTTTTTTTTTTCAGATTCCTAATTATTTTATGGGTCAGTGTTGCAATGTTGCGCATTTTTTGTTTCGGAACGTTCTGCTGCAAACATATTTTTTTCAAACACTGGCATAACCATCAGTTTTACAGATGCCATGCTCTGCTCTGCAGGTATTATGTGTTGCGTGAGACACCTGTTTATTTTCCCAAGTATCTGTTTGATTGTGCTTTGTAAGGCATCAATAATCATTTTCTTTTCAATATACTGAAGATTTTTTTTTTTTTATTATTTTATTTTTTTTCTTGAGATGTTGAGAACAGTTACTGTAGCAGCACAATTCGGTTCTTTTTTTTTTCTACTTGATAAGACAACAAAGCCCTGCCTGATGTTAGTCGGTAAGCGCAAGGTCATGTTTTCGGGGCAGCCCAGAGGCAGCCAGTCACGGTGTCTCAGTGCGATTACTGTGACACAACACAGGCAGCCAAGTGCACCTCGGGCCGAAAAGCACCACTGAGAAGGAGAAAATGGAACATCCTCATGGTTCTCTGTCTGTCTGCTCCCAACCTTGCAGTTATTGGTGTTTAAGACACATTTGATTGCTGCTACATTTGCTGGTCGTTCTGCTGATGACTCGATTTGTGTTTTTATTCCCATTTGCCTTTTAGTTGCCATAAACTGTCATGAGAATGGACTTCATTTATTTGAAGTGATTAGCAGACTATTAGCGTGTGGTGAGAGATAATCAATGTCGGAACGATTGGCATCTCTCAACCATGACTTCTCTGGTGAATTGAACATGTGTGATATTCGGTTGAAAGGGATTTCATCCAGTTGAAACACGAGTATGGGTTATTACTGTGGATTGGCCTTGTTATCTTCCTGGACCTTTCTCTCATTTGCACTCAATTTCTGTCCTTCCTCACTGGGTTGAGGTACAACCTCAGTGGTGACCAGCCAATTGCATGGCACATAGAGCTAAACAACTATACATGCTAACATCCACACGTGTAGACAATTGTAGAGTCATGCTTTATTTCCCATTGAGATTGTCAAAAAAACGATTGATAAACAAAAAGTCTCAGAAATGTTGAGAGAAGATGATTTTATTTGACAAATTTCTTACCCAGTATGTTCAGGTGCCCTTATGTAAAACTGCTATTGTGTGATTTGGCAATCCAGCAAAAAAAAAAAGAAAGAATATCCTCTGTAACCTCTCCCTGAACCCAGCAGTGTGCCAAGGTGCCTACGGGTGCTGTTGAAGTGAGACATGACACAGCTTGCCAGACACGGGTGCACTGTGCCATGTGAACATAGAGTTGTAATGCTAATGTCGCTACGGCCTGCCCCTGGCTATGGATTATTGTGCACGTGTGTGAGTGTGTGTTATGAGTATACACACCTGTCTTCGGTAGAGGTTTGGACGGGAACATGTGGTGTGGGAAGTCAATCCTTGTCTGAAAGTCTGTAATTCCACGCTAATCTCCGGGATTAAAGAGCTATACGTGGCATCTCACTTTGCTCTTTCGCAATGTCACATCCAAGTCCCGTTTGCGTGAACAAGTCAGGTATGACTCAAAATCCAAATTATAACGTTGACAAAAGGCAAACAGAAAATTAAAAGTCCACATGCTTTTGGGATACTCCATGTATGTTCTTCAGGAAAACTATTTTCCTCAACACCGTGAACAGAAAGCTGATGAAATTAACTAGACAACACAAACGATATGTAATTGTTTTCTTGACTGACTTTAGCGTGTTTCAAAAAGTTGACGAATTTTAAACGAAACTTCCACTGTCCACTCAATTTAGCACCTCCCTGACATACAAAGCTTGTCTCACAGTTAAGATGTGTCGCCTCAACTATGTACTTTTTTGACACCAATTACTACTTTCCTATTCACACCCTCTGGTGCAATCTTAGGGCATTACAAAAAAATGCACCATGAACTGGTGAGTTTCACATGGAGCAGCTGAGGATCGACCCTTCAGAAAAAAAGAAAAAAAAAAACATCACTATCGGTTTACATATTTGTCAAGAGAGGACCATTAGGGGTTCAATGCACCCCTAAAAATACAATGACGTACGTCATCTTATTCCATTGGATCCGTTGTTTTCCTTTCCCCTTGCCATTAATCCGCTTAATATTCTTACAATATTTCTGTTTTGCTCATACCTCTTGTTCTCCTGAGATGTGATAACAGCAAAACGAGAAGGCTTCACCGATGCACCTTTATCAACTCCCTGAAGTAAACACTTCATTTGCATGGCGCCTTCGCCTAGCCCGGAATTGCCTTTTATTTGTTGCGGCACACCAATTGAGCAGAGCAGTCAGGTGGATGAGGGCAAGGAAGAAGCTAAGTGAGCAGGCACGACTATCAAAAGGGTTGCTAGGGGACCATGATGAAGGAAATCAAGTGGGGCTTTTTTTAGTGTGAGCGCATGCTTGCGTGTGTCTGTGTAGAGATGTGTGTGTGTGTGTGTGTGTGTGTGTGTGTGTGTGTGTGTGTGTGTGTGTGTGTGTGTGTGTGGGTGGGTAGGTGTGTATGTGTGTGTGTGTGTGTGTGTGTGTGTGTGTGTGTGTGTGTGTGTGTGTGTGTGTGTGTGTGTGTGTGTGTGTGTGTGTGTGTGTGTGGGTTTGGGTGGGTGTGGGTGTGTGTGTGGGTGTGTTGCAATTATTTTACATAATATCAAGGAGTTAGCTGTAATGAGCTCAGATCCAAGAGCGACATAAAAAAATCTTTACTGAAATGATAAGTCTCACTTTTTATCAAATCTAACACAATCGGGACCCTAACAAAACCCAGAAAAGCACAGAGAGTACATGCAAACTTCTCACAGCAAGTCCAGAGCTGAGATCTGAGGCCAAACCACAGAAGTGTGATGCAGATGTACTAAGCATCAGACGACGGAGCTGTCCTGCAAATTTCAAGTTACAATCTCGTGTAACGGCATGCAACAAGTACGTACTACTGTTTCATTGTCACTGTTGGTTTATCTCATTGTTTTGAAAAACTGAAAAAAACAATCTCCACTAAACATTGGTGTGTTATCTGCAAGAAAGCTAAGGAAGATTTTTTTTGTTGTCATTTTCAGACTCTCATGCATAATATTAGTTAGGCAGTAGTGAATCTTAATGTGCATCACTGCCATTGACGTGAATTACTGGAAAAACAACGCTCAATGTTTGTACGGCCTTGCACTGGGTGAGAGAGAAAAAAGGACTTAGTCATTCTTACTTTAAGCATCTTTGTTTGGCCCTCTTCAATCCAGTGGCATGCAAAGTTCACTTGATGCGCGGGTGGTGCACATTCATCTATGTCAATGGTAAAAAAAAAAAATATATATATATATATAAGTTTATGATCGTAGTGATGCAAAGGGATAGGAGTTTGTATATGTTGGTGCTACTTTGGTTTGGCCTTGGGCGAGGTATGCAACTCTAACGACCTCAAGAGAAATTGGAGAAATATGTTACATAAGCCTGAATAAACAAGAAACAAGATGATACATAAATGTGGAAATATCCGCCTTAATTTTTTTTTACTTTCACCTTTCTGCTATTCGGTCTTGGTCTGGATCTCTGCTGCTGGCTGGCTGTATGTTTGTCACAGAGCATTAATAGAGTGGCTGCCTTTACAGCAGCTCCTACACTTTTTTGTTCTTCTACTTTCTTCCTTTCATAACTTTGCTGCTGTAAATTGGCAATTTCTCCATTGTGAGATGAATAAAGGTTTTCTTATTCTTATTCTTATTCTTATTCTCATTCTTATTCTTATTAGATAGAGTACAGTAGAACGTCAATGGTCATACCCATGCCTTTTGGGCCACTATTTTATGGCAGTGGTTCTGATTTTGTAACCAATTTTTCCTTGAAGAAATAATGGAAAGCTAAATAATCTGCTCCACGTTCAAACTGTCACAATCATAAAGCCTTTAATATAAAATTTTAAGTAACATTCATTGCTGATGAAATGCTGTTGCAAGCAATGTGTTATACATTAAGTGGAAAAGGGAGCACATAAACTATGAGCCTCCAAATCTCAAGACAAAAGAAAATGGACACAGAGTAAATTGGTTGATGATTTTATATTCCACTGAATTAATGGATAGAATAAAAGTGAAAATTACTTCGCAATAACTTTGTTCCAAAAAAGACAATCCGTGTGCTCTGTGTCATGTGTACCGTGTTCTTACATTATCTCGACAATCAACACAAACTGACTCTTGTCCTTCACTTTCAACTGTATAGTCCCCTATTTATCACACCCCACAGCACACATCTCATTTTGTTATCACAGCACGTGCGTGGAAACATATAGGAGACATAAACATGTTACAAGACACACATAGCCTTGTACCATTCTGAGTGAATGATGGCTAACTGACGTTGAGATGAATACATTTCTGAATCTTATCACCACGCAATGAGCTTCTTGTCTCATGTGTGTTTTAGACTAAGCGAATGCTAACAGTAATATTCTCCCCCTCATCAAACGGGCAAGAGAGGGCGCTGCATCAAAGCAACTGCTCTAAACCCTCTTAGAGAATCTTGGGAGGGCAACATAAAAGAGGGGAGTCGCTTTTGAGAGAAATGTCTGCACCATGTGATGTTTAGCATCAGTGCACAGAACTACTTGAAAGGCTATTTCAACATGGACGTGTTACTCAAAAATCAATATACGGTATGCAGCCATGTATACATTCAGAAGCATTTTATGTGCATGTCTCCTTGTTTTGCTATTTTTTTTTCCACACAAGCAATCAGTCAATTCATGCCTCGGTCACTGTCATTAGCGATGACCTCATTCTCGCTTCAAATGCCAAACAAAGCACATCAGGCTAATAAACAGCAACAAAGAGTAAAATGTGCCTCTTGAAATGTAAAGCGAAGCATGAGCTAAATGACTGTATGTTTTTACATGAGCTGTTTAGCACTGCATTTGCAACGACTTTCTCGAGCCAAAACGTAATGTGCTGCAGTGGCATGCAAATGTACACAGTCCATCAAATCACTGCAAATAGCTCTCTCTAGAGAACCTTGTTCACACTGCAGGGCACTTTAAGCCCAGGTGTCAACGATAGTGTGCTTTATTTTATTGAAAGGTCTATAAATATCTTCAAGCAGGTGGCTAAAGCCCGTGTGGGCCATCTGCTCTCTAACCCCCACAAATGCTAAGATGATGCTATACGTGGATTTGTGTACTTGTGCAGGTGCACACACATTGTGGCATCCTCGGGTGCTTACCTTGTGTTTATCTTTTTGATTTCTGCAATAAATGTAATTGTATATGAGGATGTCCATTCTAAAGGTATTACCACCCGGGGATGGACAAAATAGACTTCCCAAGGTGTGTCCATTTCCACTGGTTCGGCCATGTGATGGGAAAACACAATAAGCCTCTTAATTCTAATCCTCCTCCCATGTTGGCAAAGAAGCGTTTCAGGTTTCACGCACACCCGCACACACACGCACAGTAGTCTAATGTGGTAAAAGGGGCTCATCCTAGCAGTTTTCTCATGCGGAGCATTGAAAATGTCCACAAAATAAGCGTGGGATGTTAAGGGTTTTAGGACAGAAGAATGGTGAGCACAACTGCCTCGCAGTCAAAAGGTTCTAGGTTTGAAACTGAGCTTCAACCTACTTGTGCAGCGATTCTATTCTCCTCGTGCTTGTGTGGGTTTTCTACAGGCTGTGGTTGTCTCCCACATTCTCCAAACATGTTTGTCACGTTTATTGAAAACTGCCCTTTGTTGTGAGTGTGAATGGTTGTTTGTCTTAAAAAAAAAAGTCCACTTGTGATTGACTAGCGGGTGCCCCAGTGGTCGACTGGTTAGCGTGTCGGCCTCACAGTGCAGAGACACCGGCCTTCCTGTGTGAAGTTTGCATGTTCTCCCCGTGCCTGCGTGGGTTTTCTCCGGGTACTCCGGTTTCCTCCCACATTACAAAAACATGCATGGCAAGCTTATTGAACCCTCTAAATCACAGGTGTCAAAGTCAAGGCCTGGGGGCCAGATCTGCCCCCCCCCCCACATCATTTTATGTGGCCCGCGGGAGCAAATCATGTGTGTCAACTTTCATGATTCTTGTTGAAATCTGTACTGAAATGTCAAGTAATCATGAGTAATAAATAACGTTGAGATTTTGCACCGGCCCTCTGGGGGGAGCCGTAACTCCGAAGTGGCCCGTGACAAAAAATGAGTTTGACACCCCTGCTCTAAATTGTCCCTAGGCGTGAGTGTGAGCGCGGACGGTTGTTTGTCTATGTGTGCCTTGCGATTGGCTGGCAACCAGTTCAGGGTGTCCCCGTGCCTACTGCACAAAGACAGCTGGGATAGGCTCCAGCACGACCTTTGAGAGGATACGCAGATCAGAAAATGGATGGATAAATGGATGGATGATTGACTCGCGATCAGTCCAGGAACGATCCGCCTGGAGTACAGTAAAGCTGCAGTAGAATCCAGATCACGTGAACATGTGCTCACTTAGGAGTAGAAAATTGATGGATGGATCGTTAGAGGTTGGGCCATCCATAGAAAGACAACAGCACATTCGAGCACATTTGTGGCCACCTGCCCATCATTGTACTAAAATCACATCACTGGTGTACAACACATGATTAGTCAGTAGTTTATGTGAGTGCAGCCTTTTTCTTCTCTGTTTCAGATTACCTTTGTTCACCGGAGGAAAACGTCCACATGATCGACTTCACCAGATTTAAGATCCGTGATATGGAAACGGGAACAGTGCTGTTTGAGATCACTAAACCTCCAGCACCAGGTCAGCTCATAACCTTAACAAAAATGGGTCATTCCCTATCAAATTGCAATTTCCCATTGTTCGTGAGCTGTTTTACGAAAAGCCCCGCGGGCTTCTCATGTGACTGGGGGGGCAAATGTTGCCAACCCCTGCTGTAGTGGAACCTCTGAGGTCAAATACAGGTTTTCTCCTCATGGGAAATATGAACTCAAAAGTTATACATGTTCCTCCAGAGTCACCTTTATTAACTCGAGAGCTAATGTTTCAAGGATCATTTTAAAATAGCTTCACTGCCATACTGCCATAAGTGTAACATTGGCACTGTACTGCATATTCCCTTTCTTCTCTTTTTATGTTCTTCTTTTGAAGAACAATACCTTGTGCAGGCCGGTATGAAGTGAAGCGCTAGATGGTAACTAGTTGAATTTTATCATGCCGTTTGTATTCCTGGGAGAAGGCATTTGTTGTTTGAATTTGGTGGTTCCACTGTGTTGAAATGGATTGTTTTAAACTTTATTTCATCCAAACTCACAATCATATCATTTATTCATAGCAGGAGGCAGAAAGCAATGTGACCCCAACGCCGGGCGCTTTGTTCGCTACCAGTTCACCCCCGCCTTCCTACAGTTGCGGCAGGTTGGAGCCACGTAAGTCTGTTTTGTGCTTGTGTGAGAGAGGCAAGAGGGAATTAAAACAAAAGGACTGGATGGAGAGCGAGAGAAAGAGAGAGAGAGAGAGAATGTCAAAAAAATGAAGGATGCACTTGTGCGCTCAGTCCGTCTGCTCTACCCGAACAGTCGAACAGGATGTAGTAGGAGGTTGTGTGGGCTGACAAGTGAGAACGTACAGAACAGACAAGCTGTCAGCGCATCTGAGCAGCACTGGGCAATGTTTTGATGTGAAACAACTCTACCTTTTAGTCATAAGTACTTCATTAGGCCAACCCACCTAAACATGCGAGTTTGGGAAGACATCCTTTTGACACAGCAAATGACAAAGCTGAATTTAATTGATCACATTGAAATAGCAGCATGAAACGACAAGATCATTGCGGTGTTGACTGTCACTGATGTGTTATTTTAATTGCTCTTTTTATTCACGACATCATAGACAGCTGCTGTGGTCGAGATGAGTGATTCTCAACCAGACCAAAAGCAGATCACAGACCCATGTTCTCCCGGACGGTTTTATCTACATTTCCTAGATGTGTTTTTTTTTTTTTTTCCAAATAATTACTGTAATCATGACTTAACTACTGTGTAGGTTCGTAAGAGACTACAACGTGTTTAAAGACCCAGCCTAAAAATTGTGGTTGATGTTACTGCAGAAGGAGTGCAACGTTTTTGTCAACTAAGGGACCCCTATACAGTGAAATATTCCGCATGCATCCCAGGTCTGACATGCCTTTGATGTGGGATATAGCATTATTTGGACAGCCGTGCATCACATCAGAAACGTTATTACTCCTGTAGAGCAGTACAAGCATTTGCGTTCAGTCCACCTCTTCCCGAGGTCCCGCAGGGACATTAAAAGAACAAGTACCCGATGTGAGCGTGTTAATACAGTGTATGAAGTGTGTGCAAAGTGCATGACTGTATATAAACATCTGAATGAGACAAGCAAACAAAACCAGAAACAAACAAAGGAATGTTACCGGAGGGCAGAGAGCCATGTGTGTGTGTGTGTGTGTGTGTGTGTGTGTGTGAGTGTGTGTGTTTGTGTGTGTGTGTGTGTGTGTGTGTGTGTGTGTGTGTGTGTGTGAGTGTGTGTGTTTGTGTGTGTGTGTGTGTGTGTCTGTGTGTGTGTCTTTCAAAGCTTAGTTTGACTGTGTGTGTGTGTGTGTGTGTGTGTGTGTGTGTGTGTGTGTGTGTGTGTGTGTGTGCAGGGTGGAGTTCACAGTGGGCGACACGCCCATCAACAACTTCCGTATGATCGAGAGACACTACTTCCGCGACCAGCTGCTCAAGAGCTTTGACTTTGAGTTTGGCTTCTGCATGCCCAGCAGCAAGAACACATGCGAGCACATCTACGAGTTCCCCGCACTGTCAGAGGACATCAGTAAGCGCAATCACACACATCGCATGTGGAAAATTCATATCCAGTTTAAGGTCACGTACTAGCACGGTCTTTGTTCTCACTCGTAAGGCATTGTAGCTTTGGTTCCCAACCTGAATCATGGCATTGTTTTTATTTTTGAAAAATGTCACGGTTCACCATCAAACAAAGATGTCACAAAAAGGATGAATACTCACCTAATGATGATCTCGTCATAGTTTACTCTCTAATGTAATTTCTTGGTGTGACATCAATGCCTGTTTGATTCGACACAAAGGGAATATACTCACACGAAGCCAGGACTTGTTCTGATGTACTTAGGCAACAGGTTGCTTCGTAAATAATCATTTGCGAATGCACAGAAACGAATTAACGGAAGACAGTTGGGGAAAAGACGTTACAAATTAGAAAATAGTTCTTGTACAAAGTACAAGTGCGCTGAAATGTCTTATGAGTGAGGACAAATTGCATACTCGTACATGGACCTAAAGTTGCAGTCCAAAAAAGTCCCAAACTTCTTTCCATAATCGCGTGGATTTTATTCACAACTTCACAAAGCTCCAACAGCTACTTTGTAAATCCCGATCATTTTGTGTTCTCTCTCAGTGCGTGAGATGATCCTGCATCCTTATGAGACACAATCTGACAGCTTCTACTTTGTGGACAACAAATTAGTGATGCACAACAAGGCAGACTACTCCTATAGCGGGGGTCCGTAGAAACACCATTTCCTCCCCCCCTTCTTTAGACATTGTCCACTCCGCTGTTTCCACATCAGGAGCCGGAAAATAGAAGAAGCCACAGACGTCCATTTCATTTCTGTTAAGTCCTTGTGTAGCAATGCACACCTGTGAGCATACAGGTGTGTGTGTGTGTGTGTGTGTGTGTGTGTGTGTGTGTGTGTGTGTGTGTGTGTGTGTGTGTGTGTGTGTGTGTGTGTGTGTGTGTGTGTGGCCGGCAAATGCGTTGTGAATACAGTCCATATCAGTTCGTTAGATGGACACTGGTTCATTTCCGTTGTGTGTGTTTTGATAGGCAGTAACAGCTAGAGATTACATAATACTTTGTCTTTATGGGCCCTGATATTTATTTAGTTTGTTCTACAGATGGATTCTATTTCTGTTTGCACATGACTACGCCACTCAGCTCAGAATGAGAGACGGAAAAGTTCTCAGTTGATGATGTGTGGATCATTTTTTGTTTGTTTTCAGGTTCATAGTGTGTCCAGAGTATTTTTCGAAAGGAGTAGCCATTTTGAATTGTCAGACTGTATTCATAGAAATTTTGATATCCAGTACATACATTGTAGTACAGAACACTGCGTGTACATTTTAATCATGATATTAAGTGTTGTAAAAATTTTATGTCCAATTTTGAAAAGTGAAATCACATCATTGCAATAAATATGGGACTTTTTTTCCGAAAACCTGAGTATTTTTTTAACATGTTGTCTTGCGTGTTTTTTTTTTAAAAAGGTACATAGCTTTTGAGATCATCTAATATATGTGTTTTATAATATCAAATGTATTTCCACTCGTACATAGCTCAGGCGGAAGAATTTATACCAAAGAGTCTTTGCTGCCATCCTCTGTGCAAACTGCATCATTACCGGGACCGTAAAACGCCACGAGGGTTTTTTTTTCTTGTTTATAGTACAATGAAAGCAAAGCGAGCCATTCATAGAGCTGCATTTGTCCGAAACAAACAAATAAATAAATCTTCTAGGAAGTGTCCATAATGTCCATCATTCCTTCCATTATCAAGATGGCCCGGTCCGGAAAATACCTGTACACCGATCGTTCAGGAAAATTCACACCTAAATGCCTGATGGCCACGACGCCCCTGGGTGAAGGGAACACGGCCAAGAAAATTTGCCCTGAAAATACTGTATGCAAAAATGCAAATTTACAGTGTTTAAAATACTGTACCTATTGAGTGTATTAAATGATCCCTTTTAAAAAACATTTGGGAGTCCAGAAGTAAGGAACTGCTAATACAAGGTTCACAGGAAAATAAGTGATTCTCAGCCAATCATTGATGAAAGATAATGATAATATTAACCAAAAAATAAAAAATAAAAACAAATACAATACAATATTGGATGATAATTGAATTTAAAAAAATTTGATCCTATTGGTATCAATACAGTTTCATAGTTGTGTATTGTACGACATTCATTTTCTAGGGTTCGCATAATTGAAGCATTTCTACAAGTGCACGAAAAATAGTTTATTTAAAATAAAAGTAATGGGTATTTGTCATCAATTTAATTGGTCATGTAAAAAGGAATTATATTCACAGCCTGTACCATGACTCAAAACTACCTCACCATCATCTTATATCATCTGTGGTTCAAAAATTGTATGGGTTACGTTGTCTTTTCTCACTTTGCTCAAATTGTCCATTTTCTCCTAAGAACTTGTGAGATTATATGAGGCGTAAGGTCACACAAGACATGGGAGCTATACTCTGGTTTGTTGTCAATGGGTGGAGAATTTAAAAAAAAAAAAAAACAGGAAAAACAAGGATTTGAGGGCTTCATGTATCACAAATCCAATGATGAAGCCACTTGCTACCGTAACGCTCATTCAAATCACAGTCGTGTGTCAAGGATCTGTCGGTTATCAAGGTGTGGACAGTTACATGGCCTACTTACACCAAGGATGTGGTGCAGCAGGTCAAATACCCCGGCAAATTGTCTGCTGAGTAAACATCAGGATGCCAACGGCTTGAACAGTCACGTTTCAAGCTCGGTTCACTTGATGTGTCATCAAACTCTATTTTACAGCCATCAAACGGCACTACCGCTGAGGTCTCACTGACGGGCAGAATGTCGTCTACACAGCCGGGATGGACACAGGATGCCTGCAAGCCGGAGGTGATGGACACGGTCGTGGGGGTTGTTTGCAGATGCGACACCAGGCTGTCTTTTTGCAACTCCTCCCACAGGTTACCTTAAAAACAGTTTAAAGTGACAATTGGGAAAATGCTGAGTTCAAGTGTTTACTCACGCTGATAAAAGAGAACTGTCACCTGCATACAACGACAGGATCGGAAAACTGGAAGAACAAGAAACCCTTCTCGTAACTTTGGAATTCTTTGGAGACAAATAGGTGGGTCTCGAGAGTACTTGCCTCCCATCAAGTGTGAAATTAAGCAAAAAGAAATCTTCAGTTATCTGCTTATTTCTGAAAATATGTCTGCAAGCAAGCTGTTTTGAATTTCTCGGCTAATTTACATCATCCAGTTAGAATGTGAAGATGAGGTTTAAAAAAAAATTTGGGTATGTAAAGTAAATAAAATTGTTTATTTCAATCAGCAATAAAAAAAATAAAAATAACTCACCCATGAGAAATACGCTAGTGTAACTGATCTATACCTCCTCCTGTACTGCCTACCTTTCAACTGAAGATCGGTCAGGCTGGGGTTGAGTACATCTACATCATAAGTATCTCCCTCTAATTGCAAGTCCTGCAGGCTTCTTAGACCGACATTGAAGTCGTCCTGGTAGGTGGCACTGTAGGCCGGTGGCAGCCTCCCAGTCGCAATTAAGTTCACACTCCCAGGATGGACGTCTGCTGTGTGCTGCTCATCACATGGGGAGTGCAGGGTCATTGAGTCGCTAAAATGGATGTCGGTGAATGAGAGGAAAGAGGACTGCTGTGAGGCTGGAGGAGCACGTGAATACTGTGGATGTCGACTAGCTCTGCTTGGTGGTTGCCGAGAGACACTGGCATGTCTTGCGTATGGCGCCGTCGATTGGAGCTTCTCGGGCATCTGTCCGATGAGATGGTCTAGGTCCTCTGCGGAAAATAAACATGATCATGGGTTTCACTTCATAACGTTCGAGAATTTTCAGAGTCCTACCTGGTCTCGCCATGCTCCTGCATACGCTGACGGGATCTTTGCGGCGCCACTTGTGCAACTCCTCCTGCATTTTCTCCACCTTGGCAGGATTGAGACCCCACAGACAACCTTTGCGAGACGAGTTCCCATTTTTGCCCTCTAACTTCTCAAAGCATTTGTTCAGGGAAAGGTTGTGGCGCACAGAGTTCTTCCACCCATCAGGGGCTGTCTAGAAAAAAAGCAGGGCAAGGGGAGAAAGGGAATGAGATTCATCGTGCAAGACAGACAAAAATAATTGAACACTTGGTACGTCCAAACAATTACGCAGTCATCCATTTTCCATGTTTTGCTTAATAAGGTCGAGAGTGAGCTAGAGCTCATTCCAGCTAACTTTGGGCAAGACACCCTGGACTGGTCGCTGGCCAGTTGCTGAGCATTTGCACACGGGTTTCCTAGAAGACTGTGCTAAGTTAGCTGGCTGATCTCCCATAATGCAAGTCAGAGGTAGGCAATTAATTAATTATTTTTTTGAACGGGCTTTTCAACTCAGTTGTATTCAATATAAATTGAATGTCTTTTTATAATACAGTGAATTGTATTGTTTCAATAAGCTGCCATTGTCGAGCCCTGGTATAATTGTTGTTGGAATTAGAAAATAAAAACCGAAAAAAGAAAATCAAAGTTAGTCCAATTATCTTAGACTGTATACAGTTAAACAGATATTCACAATAAACTTTCCGCAGATGTGTCGTAATTCTATAAGTTCATCCATGAGGTTGGTGGGTCAGGTAAAAAATGACCACCAAACTGGTGCTCCTTTCAGAACCATCAAATTTTTTGTGCACCCCGGTTTACATATTCGTGTGTGTGTGTGTGTGTGTGTGTGTGTGTGTGTGTGTGTGTGTGTGTGTGTGTGTGGTACAGTATACAAGATTGGATTGCAGGTGTCAACAGACTTGCAGTGAAATGCAAATACAGTAACTAACTTGAGTGACACAGATTATTACTTTGCAATAAAATTCCCATTTATCTGTCACGTTTTCTGGCTCTGCAGCATGCTTTTGAAAGTGACAGACAGCTTCTTGGAATGTCGCTATCCAAGTTGCAAATATTTCCAATCATGAACCTGAGCATACTGTACATTTAACGCTGAGATCCATATCTGCAGCAGTGTGGGGGAGGGAGTTACTGATTAAATTCAGTAACCTGATTGTGTCACCAGAAACACACTGTATGATCAAATGTAATTGTAGGACTGTTGTACAAACCGCACAACAATTAACTTACACAACACACAAACAACCCTCTTATTACAGTATCCCAAGACAACGTGACTGAATCTGTAATTCCTTCCTCATACCTTTTCACACAGTCATGACCAAAATCTCGACAGTGTGTCATTCATCATTATTAAAGAAGAAGTAATTAGTGTCATCAAGTATAACAAAAGCCGAAGACAACTAATAACGAGTGGTAAAACAGGATCCTGAAAAAAAAAAAACCCACTAATGAAATATTGACCGAGCAGTGGGAAAACAATGTACATCACTGTTTTGCAATGAGTTATAAATGTGACAAACACACAATCAATTATCATGCCCATTTCTACGAATCATCCATCCATCCATTTTCGAGACCAAGGGGAGGGAACTCCGATTCCTCGAGAGTAATATCCTGCATGGTTTAGATTCCTCCCTACTCCAAACACACCTGATTCAATTGTTCATGATCGTTTCAGGCCTCGACAGAGCTTGCTGATGACCTGATCATTTGAATCAGGTGTGATCGATTAGGGAGAGATCGAAAACAGGCAGGGAGAACATGCAAACTCCAGACAGATGAGCCAAAGTGGAGACTCAAACCCAGAAACTCAGAAAATGATAACCACTATTTGCTTCTCTGCTACGAACTGCCGTAGTCGTAATTAGGAACAGTACTATGAAATGCAGTCACGCCAGACACTTATGCAACTGCAATTATCACACAGGCCTCAACATTAGGTACACTGAAGAAATAGTCTGTTGGATTTACTGAATATGAAAAAAAAAGTACAGACATTGGTTGCATGCATATGATTTTTTTGTGGGAATATTCATGTTGGTGAAACATGATTTTAATGCATGCTACTGATGTCCATAGTTTTTAAATATAAACCCAAAAGACCTTTTTTCAGGGTTCCCATAACCCAGTAAGATCCCAAACGACACCTTTTTTTATTTGCTCCCATGGTGAAGCTAAATAAGGTATACAGAACATTTTTAAGATACTGTTCAACAACCACTATGAAAAATGTGTCGTTACAGTATATGAATATTTCTAAATCTCAATCAAAGCTCAGCATTATTACTGTATCTTTGTAAAGGCAGAGGTTCGACTCTTACACAATGAAAACTTCATCATGTTGATACACTTTTGTTGTCTGCAAATGGATGCTGACTGGAAATTCCCTTTTGGCATTTCAAGTACAACCATGGCAGCTCTGCGTGACTTGCACAGGGAACTCCACCCAAACTTATTGATGCTTGCACCAGTTAAAGGTATTTTTATTGACATTAGTAGCAAGTGTAGCGTATGTTTATAACCTGCAGTGTTGTACCTTAAAATAGGGGAAGTTTTCAGTCATGAAGCTGTAGATCTCACTGACGGGCAGGCTCCCTGTTTCACTGTTTTTCAGAGCCATGAAGATGAGAATGCTGCAATGACACAGAGAAAAGCATACTTCCAAATCTATTGGACACGGACAACATTGTGGACGTTAAGTAACCATCAATTGATTGATCGAAGACAGGGGAGACGAGTGCAGTGCAGTGTGGTCAGCACATAAGGACAATGTAACACAGTAACAAATGTCATCACTATACTAATTTACTAACATTAACGGTCAAGCGTGTATTTAAGTAAATTCAGCAGTTATTTGAATGATTTTTAGGTTGTTGCACAGTAGAAATGTAACCAATTAGCATTCGTTGACAGTGACTGGGATTTTATAATGTATTAAAATGTGGAAGCAATGAAATTTATTGTCACCTGTATGAGTAAATGGGTTTGGGGAAGAGCGGCTGTGAGTTGTTCCTCTGATGAATTTGAGATGAGAGACTCTGAACAGAATAATTTGGCTTGTTGGAATGCGCCTCAGTAGCATACGGCCATGTCGCAACCTGTAGAGAACACACAGGGACGATATGAACACCTCATATAGTCTATCTTCTTTAGTCAGATTATCTTGTACCATTACTGCAGTGATTGCTATTGCTATTGATCATTGCACTTATTGTGCCTCTTGTAGGGGGCTAAGTGTAGGATAGATAGCACTGAGAATGCGAACAAGGTGTTTTCAATTGGTATGGTTGGTAGGTGACGGTCAGGGTAGGAACACTGGAGATATCCATAAAACCACAATGTTGCAACATAATATGAACTCCAACCTTCCTGTCCGATAGGCAGAATACACACACGGTCAAAAAGGTTGATACCTTTACGATAGGGAGAGGAAAAAAAAAGCACTGGTGTCACTAAAGTAACTTCAAATGCACAAATGTAAAGTAAACATTTGAAAAATTACTGGAAATTAACAAATGTATGCTCACACAGTGAAAGCCGACACATTAAAGCAAAGGGCATTTAAGGGCAGACTTTCAACTCGAACACTTGCTCGATGGCACTCGTGTTTCCTTCTTGAGCATGCTAGCTAGCTAGCAGAGGGATAGCTATGAACTTGGAAGACTTTGTTTTTACTTGGCATTACGTTTGTGAATAACCTTCCGTATGTTGAGAAAAGGGCTATCGAAAATGTGAACAGCATCCTCATGTTTTGTGATGACTTCTTTTATCCGATAAAAAAAGCACAACCGATCCTTCTTCGTGTCCATTTCCAGACTGTGCACAAATTGAAAATAGTGTGTTAACTGAGATCGTTTTTATGTCCCATCTATCCAACGGGCATTCTCCCAGAAGCTTTGTGGTTCATCACTGTACATTTTGGCAAATTCCAGTCTGTTCAGTTTCATGTTATTTCAATGACTATCACAGGTTGTCCCTCCGTTTTCTAAATTTAGTGTCTCAAGTGACCCGAAGCCTATCCCAGTGGACCGTGAGCAAATCACAGGGTGTACCCTAGACTGGTTGCCAGCCAATCACAGCTTTTCTAGTTATTTTTGTCATTCCGAACAGAAGGCAACCACCAAACTACTCCATGTCAAAGCAATAAGAGAACATTTACATCACAACGCTGTAGTAAAAATGGGGACATCCCCTTTTGAAAAACTTTGTTTTGAAAAACTTTGTAGAGACAATACATTTGCTGAAGCGATCTCTGGTCACATTGACCGGCAAAATTCATTGTAAAGTGCATGCCAGGCCAATAGCTGTCACTGTAAAGCAAAATTAATCTTTGTCATGATTTATATGTTTGTTTAGAATTTGGCCCTCAAAGAACACAATAGCTTTAGTAAGTGAATTTGTGAGTAAGTAAAGTTTGACGCTATTGCAGTGCAAATACAGTACTTTTTGTGAGTTCTCGTCACCTGGCCATTGTAGGTGGATTGGTCCCATAGCGTTTGCGCCTCGCTGTTTGGTCCAAGTGTGATGCAGCACATCTGAGGGCTGCAAATCTCCTGCAGGCTGCGAAAGGGAGAGGAACCAGCCTCAAGACAAACTGCATTTGTCACCGTACCCTCGCTGAGCTGGCGCTGGTACGGATGGAAACGACATGCGTCGACCATGCCCTGTCGTCCCATCCCTTCTACGCTGTGCTTGCTGCTCACAGGTGCGTGCCTCGAGGTGAGGGGGGGTCTGGCTTGCTGGGTAAAGCAGACATCTGTGCAATGAGTTGTCTGTGGATTCAAATGGTACAATTATTAGTCCATGTGTGCCCACAGAATCCCTTGGAAATGCTGTCTTCACGTTGAAGTCCTAGGATCTTCAATATTGTCATTTCCAACTATTAGAGCAGGGGTGTCAAACTCATTTTTGTCGAGGGCCACATGATAGTTACCGGTTCCCTTGAAGGGCCGTTATGACTGTGACACCATTTGAAGAAGGCAAGAATAATGGTTTATTCAACTATAGTTTAAGTTGCTGTAATGTGGGTTTTGGGAACAAGAAAACTCTCTTATATATTACATACGAGAATTTGAAATTTTGATACAGATTTTAGCAAGCATCATAGAAGCCGACATGTTTGATTTGCTTTCGCGGGCCACATCAAATGATGTGGTGGGCCAGATCTGGCCCCCGGGCCTTGAGTTTGACACCTGTGTATTGTTTGACATTATAATTATTGGAGCGGGTAAAAGTTGGCCCAATTTTTGCTATTCACTTCACATTCATACCATGTGTCTGCTAAATGCAACTACATTTGTTGTGACTACAAATGTTTGACGCAAAACACCATTACACGCTGTGTTGCTCCTCCCATCTGTTAGGGACCACAACAAATTCCAAAATACAGGTTGACATTGCACAAATCATCCATCCATCTTTTTTTCTTACTGAATGCTCTAATAGACCTTTGTAGGTCTAGATCAATATGAAGAAACTGGATTAAATAAATTGACATAAATACTCACCAGAAATCTATTTTTACAGCTTTTCTCATTCCGATTACTATAGTACATTTAACAGACAAAAATAGTCCAACCCCCCCTCCCCCCCAAACATTACTTTCTCATTCTGATTGCTGTAGTAGTTGGCAATGGTAGTCCACTACTTACTATCGGTCCAAGTGTCATCACATCTGTCATTTTGCAAAATGGGAGACATTTAAGTCACAAAAATGTTCACCGGAAATCAATGAAAAAAAAAATCTCATTCTGATTGCTGTTGGGTCGCCAAAGTCATTTCGACATCACACTTTTCTGTCATGAAAATGATGTTGGGGGCGGAGGGAAGTCAACGAAACAACACATACTCGTTTCACCCTCATTGTGCTCATTACCTGTGATTCTGCAAACTGCTGGCAGGAGGTCCCAAGGTGCTCCTGTGATGTGTGAAGTTTGCGCTGAGGGGACGAGGTTTGAGACTCGTCCTTGCTGGGTGAAAACATTGGAGAGTCTGACATTCTGTACCAAGACGTGATTCTGGAAACATATTCAAACGGGAATTTTTAATTCAATTTCCAATTCCACTGTCATTACAAAGACGTGGTTTCTGTGTGCTGCTGTTGATGTTGAATCTGCGAAAGCTCAAGTTAATGCATTTTTCCTTCGTCTTCTCAAATAAGTGCCTGTTAAACTCAGCTGCAGTATGCCGTCCGAGACTTTAACAGACAATAAATCTAGTTTGACTTGTGCAGGTTCATAAGGGCTAAAAGTTGCACACTCTGTACAGATATGTTATCTGATCTCAGCAGAGACTGGAGACACGTGGCCAGTCAAGGTAACCTCATCTATTTTATAAAAAGGAAGCACATTAAAATGCCCACAAGCCGTGGCTTTTTGGTCATGCGATGCCAAATATCACTGAGGCGGAGAAGTGAAAACAGAGAGGAACAGCAGTCCAAGTACTTTCTGTCCACATGAAAGCAGGTAAAAGGGTGAAGGTGGAAACGGAGAGATTGCATTTCATGCTGCCAAGCAACAAACACTCCGGTGAGTGACTGACACGCTTTCGTCAGCCTGAACGCAGGCACTGAGGCATCAAAGTTCAAGTAACGCCTTAACAGCCCAGCAAGAAAATTGAAAGCACACAATTTGAGTTTGAATGATATTATCTAATGCATTATTTCTAATTGTAATGTCTATATTATCATTCCTTACTTGAGTCATCGATGGAATAATTGAGAGAATAATCAATTCAAAAAGATGTGTTTGTTATCGCCGTAACCACTGGACTCTGCTTGTGTCGACTTTTGACATCACTTGCAAAAAAAAAAAAATGGCATTGTATGGCGTGGTCGGTTACACAAGGTTGCTAATGAAAAGGACTTTTCCAAAAATTTGACAAAAGGTTGATCATGATTAGTGAATGACGGGCTCATTAATTAACATTCGTACCGTGCACAGACGCTCCGTAACCAACCCCGCTCAGCGAAATATGGACTTTAAAGTTCATACTCCCTTCTCTTTATCTTTCTCTTATTTAGTCACTTTAATAGAGGAAGGCTGCTGCCTCACATATGGCGAAAGGATCATATTTAGTAACTAACTTGAGTTGTAATGGATGCTACATGTCTCCCTTTCAGGCAGCAGATTCATGCCATTCATCCCATTGACAATAGTGCAAATGTTATCACTGATGAAAATGAATGATCCTGATTTAGGTCAATTTAAGGTAAACAGATCAATTTAAGGTAAACAGCAATTCTTAAAAAAATAGACAATGTAATTATATTGGGGGTGGGGTTGTTTTTTTTTAAGTTCTCGGGTTTCTCTGAGTGAACTGCGGCAGTTATGTTGACAAAGATCATAGACACACCTGTACTGTAATGCTGAATGTGCTAAATAGATTGCAGGAGGACAGTGAAGACTCACCCTCAATTTAAAATCAGCAATAATGTCTTCCTTGTGGCGTTATGCCCTCAGAATCCCTTTTAGGCCTCAGCACATCCTTGATCCAATTCTTGCAGACGTGCTCTTCAGTGTGCAAATTGTCAAAATGTTCATTCAAGCTGTTGACGGGCCAGTTTTGCATTTGACTGTATGTAATATCATCGTCATTCCATGTGCGTGCATGTGTGTGTCAGGCACTTGTCCAACCAAAGACAGGAATGAAATGAGAGATGAGAGAATAAGCCAGAAGTGAACCTGCTGCAACAGGTTTTGATGGATGTACTAGTGCGCACACAGGCAGCCTTCTCTTCCTCCTTGTGTGACGAGGACATAAGATACACTGAAGACTCAATCACACACAGCCAGCGGCACCTTGCCCTGTGCCGTGCTTTCACAATTCCCACACTTTATAACAAAAGAAATGCAACGAAAGCAGCTAGTTAATTAATAAACCTTTTATTCACTAGCCAGCTTTTGTGCTGCGCTCCTTACAACACATGCGCCAAACCCAAGGCCCGCAGGCGAGATCTGGCCCGTGACTTCACTTAATGTCATTCAATAAATCGTGTGCGTTGAATTCATGTTACTCTCAAATTGTTTTAATCGTGTGGAGATATGACATATTGCCAGCATTTTTTTTTGTGACCAATCCCTCTTTTAAAATTATTTGAAAAAAATATATTTTTTACTGGTTCTGATGTCAAAACTAGTTATATATAAATTTCTTTTGTGTATATGGGAGAACGCAAGGTCATCATACAATTTATATGGGTTTACAGTCATAATGGCCCTTCGAGGGAAAATATAACAACAGCGTGGCCCGTGACAAAAAGGAGTTTCACGCCCCTGCCTTCCAAGATGCTTCCTTGTGCTTGATACTTCATAGTTGAAAAAAACGCACTCTTTAACATCAAACACAAGCTATTTCAAATCTATGACGAATGAATTACGAATTCGAGAGTCAAACAACCAGCATCATAAACCCCTTGTGCAGCATAAAGGTAAGGCAGTCTTGAAATGGTCATACAAGTGCAAAATAAGTTAACCAGTGCACCATGAAACCGACTCACCCTTCTACGACAGGTGTTGGAGTTGTCAAGCGTAAGGAAGTGATGACAGATGCTCACTACAGGTGAACAGACGACGTACTTTTAACAACCGTCATACAAATATGAAAAAAACATGACTGCTTTATAATGAAAGGTAAGAATGTGACCCGCTGCCAAATATGCAGAAGGAGGTTTGTGTGTTTTCTCGTCTGCCCATTGTCTACCACAATTATCTTGTTCAAAAGTCGGACCACATTGCCAATCAATCCCAGGGTTTATACTGTATGTCGAGGCGGATAACCATAATCCTGCATTTACACCCTCGCTGAGTGAGGACTGTTTGTGAAAGCCCTTGCTCACCTCTGCATGTACCACTTTTATCGTTACGCTGCGCTTAACGTCACAATCTCCATTTCAGACCATAATCCTGCATTTACACCCTCGCTGAGTGAGGCCTGTTTGTGAAAGCCAGCGCTGTACTCATCATCTGCGCCATCTCCAGTATCCTTCTGTGATGGCATCACAAACGAAGGAAGTGTGAGACACACTATTTGAGTTAATTCTTCGAATGCTCACTGAGCTGGAATCCCATGAGATATACGCTGGCATCAAATTGATTGGAGCTTTCTAAATTCTGAGTGTATTAAGACTTATAATTCGGAACCCATGCATCGTTTCTACGTCGGCAAGTATATATATGTTTTGGTTTGTTTTTTTTTGAAGAATAGGGATGTTCCACTGTATTCGAAATACGCCACACATTCTACGTTGAACCTGCCATGTTCTTAGTGAGAGGGTGAGGCAGTAACGAATGATTTATTACATGGTGAATAACTTGGGTTAATGAGGAAAGCCTTCTGCCAGGGGCTCTTTTCAAAGTTCTTGAGGATGGCGTAATGTGCAAGTGTGATTGAATGTCTTATTGTTTTCACTGATACCGTACGACATTCGTCTGCTCTATTTTGAAAACATTCTTTTATTTACACCCTTTATGTTTTTGTTTTATGATTTTAAATAGTAAATCGAGCCAAATAATTGAATGAAAATTAAAAAGTTTAAGTCTCATAAGCAAAATTGCAGTGAAAGGTGGTTACAGGCGCTAAAGTCATTTCCACATCACAATTTTCTGTTATAATATTGGCGGAATACATGTATAATAGGTGGCCCTGTGGTCCAGCGGTTCGCGCGTCGACCTCACAGTGCAGAGGTAATGGGTTCGATCCCGACTCCGGACTTCCTATGTGGAGTGAGCATGTTCTCCCCGTGCCTGCGTGGGTTTTCTCCGGGTACTCCGGTTTCCTCCCACATTCCAAAAACATGCACGGCAGGCTGATTGAACACTCCAAATTGTCCCTATATGTGAGTGTGAGCGCGGATGGTTGTTCGCCTCTGTGTGCCCTTCGATTGGTTGGCGACTGGCTCAGGGTGTCCCCCTGCCTACTGCCCGAAGAAAGCTGCCGTCGTGCAGTTCTATCACACTGCAAACTACAGTGCTAAAATGCAATATATTGTTTAATGAATTGCTTTCTACCAGAGGCTGACGAATTCTCGCACTGGATCCGATTCAGTCGTGCAGGTGTTGTGGCCGGTGGGTGTCCCGTCGAATGAAAGGCATGAATGAGCATGTTGGTCAATGACTTGTGATGTTGTAACCCAGGGGTTACGACAGTCGATCTGATAGTTGAATTCCTATTTTATGTTATCAGACACATTTATGGGAGTATTGAAACTATTCAAAGACCCCACGGCTGTATGAATACTTGAGTTTTTGGCTCAGGGATCACTTCTGTGAATGTAGAAATTACTTTCCTGTCCCCAAGGGTAAATATACAGATAATGATGAAACACTCAGCTGTCTCCTCAAACGGTATTCACACAGCTGCCAGCTCAGTATTGGGGCAAAAAGGTTAAAAATTGCTAAAAAAATTAATAAAAATAAGTCACAGAGAGACAAATGAAAATGTACACGTGCTCAAAGACCAAACCTCAGAAGCTGATAAAAGCATTTACAGCGTGTTGGAGCAAGAACCAAAAGCATTAAAACTCAAGTGATGAGTTGCCTTACCTCTCGCGACGCCCGCCCATCGCCACTGCAATGATGTCGACCGATGCCCGTCAGTGTTATCCACAAGAACAATGAGCGTCGTTGGACAAAAATCACCATTTTCAACATCCCTCCTGTATTTGGCAGACACGTGGCCCATTGCCAAAGCGCTCGATGAAATGATTCCAATCAGTTTTCCATACCCAAATTCCCTTTCAATCAGTTGACTTGACTCCCACATTGACCTCGTTGAAGGGATTTGCCTTCTGTTCCAGTCTGAGACTGTGTGCTCCCTGTGTAGGGAGGTCAAAGGTGATTGGAGCTCAGTTGATTCAACCTGTGCGCATTTCCCATACGCATCCAGAATTTATTGTCTTGGAAGCTGAATGTAACTCATATGAAAAAAAAAAAACAATAATAATAAAAAGTGTACAATCAATTTTAAAGTAACGACCACATTTTCAAAACTTCCATTCCGTTGGCATAATTGCACACGGTCAAGGTCGGGGGTCCATGCATATGAAACATATCAGCTCGTTTGTAACCTCAGTTTGCCAAACAATAACACTTCACTTACTTCCCAGCATAATAATAAATATACTGCTGAATTAAATGTGGTTGTTTCCAATTAAAGTGTGTTCATTGGAACAACAGCAGAATCAATAATAATGTACGCTCTCCGGACATTTGATTAGGTACTCCTGCACAATCCACTGAGCTGTATCAAATATTGCGCCTTTACAAATCTAATAATGCTCAATTTTGATTGATACCGTTAAACCAGACGTGAATAATCACAAAGTTTACTGTCATGGTACAATGCATCATATTTAGAATTGTTTGACCCTCGTGTAATGTACTTTGTAATATAATAAGGCCAACTAGTAGAACCTAAATCATTCCAGTTGCTAATGTTAATTGCATGTCTCTTAGAGAGTGTCGTCCAAGCTCATCTTTTTTATTTTTTTTGCAAAGGCAGGTTTGTTGATACAGCTCATGCATTGGATCCTATTAGACTGTGTAGGGGGGCTTATCGTAATGGCCCGCTGATACATCACGGGAAAGTTGTGTGGGCTTGAACATAAAATACTGAAATTCAATTCACTGTAGGAGCATCGAGTTCTAATAGACGTGACAAACTACACATTTTTTCCACGGTATTACGCTCGATTCTTTGAAAATATCACAAAAAAAAAAAAAAAAAGTCACAGTGTTCACGACTGCAAGTCAATTTGGCCGGATTAGGCCTAAATGTTGAGCAAAGTTTGCTGCTGCAGTTTTCCCTGAGATTCAATTCAAGGGTTTTTAGTAACATTTGCCCAACTGGGGAACTTGTTCAGATTGAACATGGCTACCCCCCACGTGTTAATGCCAATGTTGATGGTGATGACTCCAAGGAAGTTCAGGATGAATCCAGCCTTGGCCTGCAAATACAAACAATGACATTTATGAATTTAATCTCAGATTGTGCAGATGCACCTAATGTTGCGTCACGGCGGTATAATGCACATATTGTCTTGATTTGACTTTTTAGAGTGCATATCTGCGACCTCAGTTTCCATTGGAATATTAAAGTGGGATGTTTTGTTTTTACAAATAAATAATATGATATGATCTGACAGAGGATTAATATAAACTGCTTAAATCCAAAATTGGATTCCAGATCTCTAGATCCAAAGCACACTAGCACCACACACACACTGAGACTTGACATTGCAGAAGGCCTCACCATGTCTATGACTTTCAGGTTTCCGTAAGAGAAGGCAATGGCGTTGGGGGGCGTGGCCACAGGCAGCATGAAAGCCAAGGAAGCGGCGATGGTGCAGGGAAACATGACGTATAGTGGGTGGATCTCGATGGCGGTGGCCTAGGGGCATCATGGGAAAAACAATTTGATGGGTGATCTTCAACTAGAAATAATGCAGTCTACACTTTTCTGGCAGAGTAAAGGATTGACGGTTTCAAGTGTTGGTTCCCACCATTGCGCCGAGTATTGGTAGAAACAGAGTGGTGGTAGCAGTGTTGCTGGAACATTCCGTGAACATGGCCACCAGCAGACACAGCAGGATGGAGATAGCAAAAGGAGGGATGCTCTGCAGGGGTATGAGACTTTCCCCTAACCACTTGGACAGCCCAGACACCTTTGCCGAGTGGGAAGAACACAAAGTGTCCGAATGGCTGTCTGAAAGAGTTCCGTTGGGGAAATGCAGCGTGAGACTTACCTCACTGCCGTGGGCTAAGGCAAAGCCTCCGCCCAGGAGCAAAATGATGCTCCAAGGCATCTTTTCATGGACAGTATCCCAAGTAAGCAGAGGAGGAGCGGCTTCAGAAGGGCCCTCTATTTGAGCGAAGACAACAAAAAAAAATCAGTTGAACAACGGCATGGTAAAACGCAAACCATTGTAAAAGTTCTCACATGAAAAGATAATAAAAACACACCTTCTAGAGAACATAAAATGTCATAATTCTCAACTCAACTCATAATTCATAAAAGACGCAATGACAGCTGTTCAAAATTCATGGCTTTGTGGACATTTTCCGCGATATGGACAGCGGCACGTCAAAGCTGCACATAAAAGTGCCATTACACTCATCTTGTGTCGATAAAACACAAACTCATTGCAAGGAACAGAGTACGCTCCATTTGAGTTGGCGATGAAAAGGAAATGATCACATAAGCAATTTTGTGTGACAGTGCAGTATTGTCGTTTGTCCAAACTTGACCTTGAAGATATCAGGCTACAAATCAGGAAGGAGATCTGATAACAGTTATTCGAAAAGACAGAATCAGCTAAATTGCATTTAACAAGCCCTAAAAGTTACACGCAGTATCTTTATGTGTTAGTGTTCAAAGGAAAAGAGGACAGTCGTGCTTGTAAAACCTCGCTGGACAAGCCAGCTGGAAATTTCCCTCACTCGACGCAGAGCCAACCGCGAAGAGCCAACTATCACTCTCGATTATTATTTTTTAAAAGATAAGCTCAACTAAAAACTACTGAGAGATTGTAAACGCACCCTCCGCTTGTACACAGTAGATAACGGGTGAACAGCTTGCCTACCGTTCTCAGACGACCTGCCACATCTGGGAAATTTGGAGGGAATGCAGAAGAACAGCGCCGACAGTAAAATGGCCACAGTGCCATCTGTGACGTATCTGAGGAGTAAACACATGGAGAACATTTTTCATGAATCAAATAATGTCGATTACACAGATAAACACGTGCGGTTTGAATCGCCGGGTCGTCGTCTATAGCACTGCATCAGACTGCAATTTTGGATTAAAACAGCTCCCATGTTTCCTGTTCCTCAACTTCACATCCCCGCGAAAATGAAGTACAGCATTGCACTTCTACGGGTAGAGTGTGATGGCTTGTCCCTGTCGAGACATCCTTAAATACCCTTTTTGTACATGTGTACACTGAGAGCAGCGGTGTCAAACTCATTTTTGTCGCGGGGCAATTTGGAGTTGCGTCATGACATGTTGACATTTCGGTCCAGATTTGAGCAAGGATCATGGAAGTTGACACACATGATTTGCTTTCGCCGGCCACATAAAATGATGTGGCTGGTCGGATCCGGCCCCCGAGCCTTGAGTTTGACACCTGTGATTTAGAGCATGCAAACATCGTCATACCCAATTTGTTCCTGCAAAAAAATGCTAACCATTAACCTCGGAGTCCAACAATATGGACTATAGGAGCATATCAAAGTCAAAGTCATAGTCAACTTTATTGTCAAATGTGCTACATGGGCAACATACAAGCACAGATGAAATTACATCCCTCCGGAGAGAGAGGAGCCGCTGCGGGTGCATATTAGGGTTACTCTCGGCTATTTCAATAGACGTTGTTCTACTCACTGTTTGTTTTGGTTGAAGAGAACAGTGGCCCAGCCTGGTATGAAGCCAGGCTCCCTGGTAAACCACAGAAGAACCAGCAGGATGAAGATAATCAGCACACTGGCCTCAGCGAAGCTCATCTTGCCCAACTTTTTGTACTCATCTTTGATTACCTGGTAGGCCTCCTTGTCACCTGCACTCTTTTTACCACATCCAAATGACTGTTTCAGGCTGGAAAAGCACAATAAAAGACGGTGACTCTTTGTCGTGGGGGTGAGCTGTTAGAAGTGACTGACTTACTTCAAGCCCAGAAACATAAACTGCAGCCACAGCCAAGCCAAAACCAGCATGAGAATCATGTTGGGGAATGCGAATCCAAACCAGCTTGCAAAATTGATCACACCGCCATTATCTGGAAATAGTCTGCGGGTGAAGGTAGGAAGTCACATTTCAGAGTGAAAAACCATCCATCGGTGAAGCTTCACACACACACACACACACACACACACACACACACACACACACACACACACACACACACACACACACACACACACACACACAGAGCGGATTGCATGAGTTGGACTAATGTGTACACACACACACACACACACACACACACAGCGGATTGCATGAGTTGGACTAATGTGCGTATTGTATAATGCAAGAACGTACTTATCAATCTGGCCCTTCAAGATGACATTGGGTGTGGTTCCCGTGAGGGTTGCTGTCCCTCCAATGCTGGCAGCATAACACACACACAGGCTCATGCCTTTGGTCAGTTCCATGTACTTCTGCTCACGCTTGTTTCTCCGTTGCTCCGCCTTCTCTGGACTCCAAGCGCGAGGCTCTGAAAGGAGACATTTGAGTTTCTGTTGTATAGTTATCAGTGCTTGCTATCCCCAAAACAATGCAAACAGTAAAAACCTACTTGAAACCTCAGTGTCTGTCACGTCCATATTCTGTCGATCTGTAAAGGCACCAAACGAGCCAATGAGAAGACGATGAGCAACCAATCAATCTCGTTCGCAAACTCTTAGGTCGACACACCCACCCATGTTCACGCTATTGTGATTTTGTTCGACCTCCTTGCATTCGTTGGTGTCCGTCATCTCAAAGCCCTGGTTTTCCAGGCCATCCCTGCCAGCCTGGAGTTCATTTGCTCGTTCTTCTGCATTGGCCTCCGAGTCATTGAGCTGCTGTAGCACGGCATTAGCAATGGGCAGCATCATGGCCGTGGATGCTGTGTTACTAATCCACATGGACAGGAAGGCAGTGGTGCCCATGAAGCCAATCATCAGGCTGGAAAGACGAGAAACAAATTCATCAGGCTGTTATTTTGAAAAACAACTTCTACAAAGGAAGCATTCGCAGTCTTACAGTGAAGGTTTTACACCGACAAACAGCAGGACCTGGAGGGCAATTCTCTTGTGCAGGTTCCAATGTTCCACAGCGATGGCCACCAGCAACCCACCGATGAAGAGCATGTTGGAGTCTTTCAGGTACTGGATACACACCTGGGCCACGGTGATATGCGTTGAACATGTTAGGCAATCTTTGGCTTTAACAACTATTCGGTCACTTCCTGTTCAAGTAGAGACCCACAAAATGTACTATACAGTTGCAGATACCTCATCTGACTGCATGATCTTCATCATGGGGAAAAGTATAACAGGGAGCAAGGCCGTCACAGCCAGAGGGATGCACTCTGTACACCAGTACAGTGCCATCAGGATGATCACAAAGCCACATTTTGCCTCCTGTAACATATATTGTACAATTAAAAGACAGAAACACCCTGAAAGGCTGAGTACATAGCGCTCACACATGAACCACCGACTAACTAGACAAGGCAACTAACTCTATTGACAGTATATAGCACATTTCATACACAAGGTAACTCAATGTGCTTCACACTGCCAACATCTCAGCACATCAAAGCACTTACAAGAGAACAGCCGAATACATTCAGATGGCTGTTTGAAAGCGCTCTAAGGATTTAAAAGCATTTATACTTGGAGCTGAATTCACTTCTGTTGGCAACTTATTCCATCTGCGTCTAGCGTAGCTATGGAAGCATGGAGTTGCCAACGTGGAGTAAAACAAATTTTCACTGGCAAATACGTTCAAACGTACTCGCAAGTAAGTTTGAACACACTCACAAATACGAACATATTTGCCAGTCAGACTTAGTTTTACTCCACGTTGGCAGTGCCACGCTTCTGTAGATAATAGCTTGAATGCCACTTCGCCATGTTTGCTTTGAAACTTGGGCTTCACTACCGAGTAATTGACCTGAGCTCAGGGGCCAGACATGACAAAAATCACAATTAAAGACAATCAAAGCTCTGTATTCAACAAAAAAAAAAAAAAAACACTCCAAAGGCTGGACATGAAATATCTCAAATCAAATAAATCTTGAATCGTGTTTGAATGAAGGTAGAATTGATCAGATGAACAGAATGATTGTTTTATTATGATTTATTCTGATTTAACAGGCTACACAATTATACAATGCAAGGTCACTGATGGGAGATGCTTCCTGGACAAGATTAGCATCTGTACAGATAAACACACACATACACACCCACACACACACACATTGGAGCCCATGAATGCAAAGAAGATGCAATAAAACGTGATCATAAAAGCGTGATAAATGTTGATTATTCTTACAAGGGCACAGTCAGGACCGATATAATTACATATGTCGGGTAAAGCAATAAATTCCCACAAATCCATCGGCATTCAGTTTGTCATTTTTAAATCTGGCCTGTTATAATTCCCTTGTTTTTTACCCCCGGGGGGAGATAAACGGGTGCCTTCACCCAGCAAAGGGCATGCTGCTTGAAGATTTGGTGTGTGGAAAGCATGTTGGCAGAGAAATAATAAGCCAGTGACATATGACGGTTCAGAAATTTGGAACCAGGTTATCATCTAGAACAAGTTTGCGGTGCTAAAATTTCATTTACCATGCACAACTTGTGTATGCGTTGTCTATGATAACCGATTGATTTACTACATTGAGTCTCATTGCATTACGAACCCCAGCTAATTGCATTTCTCTTGCCACCTGTTGGTGAAGTGTGATGAAGTCACTTGGTGTATTTTGAATTGCATGTAAAACGGCCGCAGTCATTACAAAAAAAAAGCATCATTTCATACACCGACGTATCACACGTTTCCATCATGTTGTTGGCAACCGCCATTGTGGGACAATGGTTTTATCTGACCTATATCACCTCAAATGTCGGATGAAAGCATCACAATAATCTCTATTGGTGAATGTGAAGCATGAAGAGAAAATCAATAGAAATAACAGGAATGAATCATCTCATGTTAGCCTAGAGGGGAAGAACGTGCAGCTACGGCTGTGCCACAGGGAAAAAAAAATGCATTTTGGTCCTATACAATCTTAAAGCAGAATTGGTTACACACAACTTGACACCTACTGGATCATTTGCAATATCTAACGATAGGAATTTAAAATAAATATATATATAAATAGCATTTTTGATGGAACCAACCATAACAGAGAGTTATTAACCAATGTTTGTTTTTGTCATGATACAGCTCTTAAATTGTATCTCATTCGCTTGCATGAGCACCGAATGAATTGTGCCGTGAGTGTACATTCAACAGCAGTGGAGTACTTCCCCAGGTCCATAAATCAAGAGCATCAATCCCCAAATGTGAGCCATTCTTACCGAGGTGGGGATGGCGAGAGGTAGAGGCAGCAGTAGAAGAGGTGTCAGAACTATTATAATATAATTCCTGCACCGCCACAGCCATGTGAAAAATCCAGCCATAATCGAGAAGCTGTGCTGAACATTCAAAGTATTGAAAGAGTCGGTAGCCAAAACAACGAAAAAAAAGAAAACACCACTATTCAATCAAAGTGACAATATCAAAATAAGATCACAGTTTAAATAGCAGTTCACTTCCTACGTCACTCTGAAATGCATTAAAAATTAACCTTTCCAAATTAACCATTAAAAGGGAGAAAGGGGCCCACGTGTACTTCCATGTGTTTTCAGATAAGATGAGCAATGTTGACAATAAACGCAGAGAAAACTAATCGTAATCTGACACTCTGCCAAGTATGGATCAGTGCAAGGGGAGATTAAAAAAAAAAACATTCACATGCCTCATTTGGCCATTGCCTCCTGACAGGCAGAGTATGGATCAGTGCAAGGGGAGATTAAAAAAAAAAGAAAAAAAAACATTCACATGCCTCATTTGGCTATTGCCTCTTGACAGGCAACAGCGCAATGACAAAGCATCATATCAAAATTGCTGTTAGACAATGTGAAATTTGAAAATCAATAGAAAAAGTGGCCATGTACGAAAACGACTCCAAGCCATTGAAGTCAGAGGGAACATGAAAGGACAAAGTCCCATTTGATAAGAAGGTTAATTGCCTTGTAAATGACTCATGTGGGTGCGACTTTGACAGAACAATGCAATGTCTTCCATTCAATTCTGCACAAGCAAGAAATGTAGACAAACCAGACCAACCTCCTGTTTGACCAATTGTGTGCATATGCTTGTGTGGAGGTGTGAAAGTTGCACACCTCGTAAGCGCACAGCAAAACAATTGCTACCGATAATAATTCAAAGAAAAATATACGGTACATTACTCTCCATTCCAAAAGAAAAAAACCTGAAGACTTAAAAGAGCAACTTGTGAAGACTGAAAAAAGACGCACCATTATTTTTAGCCAAATTCAAATTGAAATAAAATGCTGCATGTGCTGTGAGCTAAAAGTGAAAAGGGGCCGTGGGTGATTTTATTACTTGCAGTCGGTAAATCGTGTGTTTGTATTTAATTACTGTCAAGCTTAAGGTCTCTCACAAAGTCTTACACGACTAAATAAAGAGAAATGCTTACGCTAAAAACAGTTGGGTTATTTCATTAACTTAATTTTGGAATTGTTTGTGTTGGGTCAAAAATTTGGGATATTTCTTATGAAAGTAACCAAATTGTTGGTTCAAATTAAACATTTATTGCGTTGTGTGCAGTTTTTGTTGGGTCAAAAATCAACCAATCAAGTCTGACTGGCGGCCATGACTGGCGGACATTCCAAAAACATGCATGGGAGGTTGATGGGGCACTTGTCCCCAAGCGTGATTGTGAGCGCGAATGGTTGTTTGTCGATGTGTGCCCTGCGAATGGCTGGCAACCAGTTCCGGGTGTAATCATATAAATTAAAATGAGTTAACACTTGAAATATATCTGTCTGTGTGGAATGACTGTATGCATTACACAAGTTTCACTTTTTGAGCAGTATTACTGAAAAATCAAAAATCAATTTTCATGATATTCGAATTTTTGGACGGGCCCCTTTATAAACGGGGGGGGCAGTCAGAGTGACAGTAAGAGCTACACACACACACACACACACACACACACGCACGCACGCACGCACGCACGCACGCGCGCGCGCGCACACACACACACACACACACATACACACACACGCACGCACACAAACACACACACAAAATTTGGAAGTAAATTAAAACGAGATCATTTGAATCAACACTATTTACAATAAGTTGGGGATACAGGTACTGATCTTTCAGTGGAATTTCAAAATGAATCTAAATTGCACTATAAATAACTCTCACAGTTAACCTAATTTGATGTTCTCAATTTTTTTGAATGCACATGTCGAACAACAGTGTGCACATTTGTTTGGTGGTGTGCTGTGAGAATTTCTGATGTCAAATGTGTAAAAGTAATTTCAACTAACAGTCAAAGAACATAAATATAAAACAATATGCTTGCTAAACTGTTATGTCTTTAACCGAGACGACATTATTCATGTTTGTTGAATTTGTTTTTTCGTTGTTCTCCGAAAATGTAACAAAGAAAATGTAAAATGGAAAAAAATATGCTACAATATTTCTCAAAAGTTTGGTAAACATTGATTCGAGTGCTCCAAGTGGACCTGATGTTGAATTAGTTGTAATTCCCCACATCATCCAGGTGATGTCGCAAATTCCACACTTGAAGCTCAAATCAGTTTTCAATCACGTTTCTTTTCGTCGTCTCTGTTGAGTTGGGAAAAAAACGGCTATTTGTTTTTTAGATTATCTGGTAAAAACACAACGCGACAGCAAAAACGCTTTCCATGATGACTTGTCGGTGGCGCGTGCGTAGAGGGGGGGTTATAACAAGTAAGTGAAGTTCGTAGTTCATTTTTATTTGATAGACTTCGACATGTATGAGCCGGACACGACTGCGATCCTTGCCGGCGACGAGGAAGTGAAAGCCTACGGCTCAAACTTCTCGCTCGGACATGAGGAGGACACCGAGCTGCCGCCGCCGCCGCCGCCGACGTCTCGGCCCTCGGGACCGCCGTTTGCGTGCCCGCTTCCGGTGTCCGTGGAGCCCGTCATGTTCCTGTCCGTGTTTGCGGTGGTTCTCCAAGCACCGCTAATCACGCAGTATCTGTGGGACCGAATTAGTGAGGACGTCGGCTACAATGCTTCCAAGAGGTCGGAGTGCGGCAACAGCTCCGCGGGGCCAAATGCTCTTTATAAGGTAAACGTGTACAGTCTGCGAACCGGGGATGTTGCATGTAGTCCTTCTTTTATTTTGGGTTGAAAACAACAAACACCACTCGGCACATTTGAAGCCGTTTGTCAACAAGAAATGACGTCACGCAACGCGGAAGTTCATTTTTTAACGAATGGCTTTTAGATACAGACGGAGCAAAGGGTTTCACACTCTGTAAGTTAAGTAGAAGCAACAAACTTGTGTAAAAATATAATGCTGAAAGAAATAGTGATTCACCTTCTGCACGTAATAAAAAAGTAAAGAGCTGTACTCTCTCAAGTGTGCAGTGTATACTTAATTTGTCCAAAATTATTATTTATTTACAAATATGTCTTTGTTCATCAATTTTTGCCATTCAATGTGTCGTGACAGGAGAAACAATTGCATGCTTTTCCATCTGATGGCAAAAGGGAGACTAAACCTGTGTATCCAGCAGTTGCCATTCATACATTAGAATAATACACTCGTAGTCATTTTAAGAACTAACTAATTCCATGAAAATCAGATCTCACACGGAGTTAGTAATTTGAATACATTAAGACATGATCATCATTACTTTAATATATATACACATATAAAGCACTTTATGTGACATTTTTGTCTGGTGGTGTGCCATCTGGTTTTTCTGACATCAAATATTCGCCTTGAATTCATCAAGGTTAGTAAACACTGCCTTTCACCTAGTATGGAGTTATAGCAGTTAGCACGTTCAATTAAATTAAGGTTTAATATTTTCCCGGTGCTTGCATGGGTTTTCTCCAGCAGGCACATTCCCCAAACATGTCCACATTGTCCTTTTTTTTTTTTTTAAACAAAGCCGTGAACTCAAGTTGAGATGCACTATTTTTCTTCATCTTTATTTGTTCACTGGTATGTTCTGCCCACTGTCTAATTTTTATTCTCTAGGAGGTTGAAACCCTGACAGCACACTGGAACCTCTACATCAGCCTTGCGGGCTTTTCTGTCGGCTTGCTGGTGGTGCCCCTCCTGGGCTCGTGGAGCGACTCTGCAGGCCGCAGGCCAGTCCTCATCATCCCCAACCTAGGCCTGGCCATGCAGATTGTGGTCTACCTGGTGGTGATGTACCTCAAGCTGCCTGTGGCCTACTTCCTTGTGGGCCGGCTGCTCAGTGGACTTTCGGGGGATTTCAATGCTATACTGGCTGCCTGCTTTGCATATGTGGCCGACACGACTGACAGAAAAGGCCGCACTTTCAGAGTGGCCGTCTTAGAGGCTTGTATTGGCCTCTCAGGGATGTTTGCCAGCATTATTGGAGGTCACTGGAGGCGGATGCAAGGGTAAAAAATTCTTACCTTTTTTGTTGAAATGATTTATTTCCCTTCAACAGTTAAACACCATTTTGTTTTCTGGCTATTTGTAGCTACATCAACCCCTTCTGGTTGGTCCTGGCGACAAGCCTGGCGTCGGCTCTGTATGCTTTTCTGTTCGTCCCCGAGTCTATCGAGAAAGACCCCAACGCCAAGCTTATCACCATTCGCCACCACAAAGCCGTGTGGCACATTTTCTCCACCGGTGCTAGCGAGGGTGGCGGAAGGTTCCCGAGATGCAAGCTGTGGCTCTACATGCTCTGCTTCTTCCTGGTGGTGAGCGTCCACATCGGGAGCCGTGAGCTGTACGTTCTGTACGAGCTGAGCCCGCCGCTGTGCTGGGGACCGACGTTCATCGGCTACGGCTCGGCAGCTTTGCACTTGTGCTACCTGTCCAGCCTGCTGGGATTGAAAGTCATGCTGCGCTGGTTGGAGGACTCATGGGTGGCCGTCATTAGTCTGGTCTCCAACATCACTGGGCTGCTGGTTTTCTCTGTGGCGGACAGCACTCTGCTCATGTTCACAGGTGATATATCGTTAACATATGAAAGCACATCACCGGGTGCCCGAGAGTAACTCTTTGCTAACATGTGAGCCAGTTCTACTTCATAGGTAAACAATTTATACAATGAAGGTGTTGTGAAGCATACTTATTGTCGGTCTTTGTAGTCAAAAGAATCCCCCTCAAAGCTACTGTACGTGTGGGCAAACAAGCAGACCCGTGAACATGTGGCCTTGTGGGTCCAGAGGCTGGAAAACAGTGCATGTACGCCTCTGTGACCTTGTCAACCTTAAAGTTGGAACAACACTAAAATGAAAACATTCAAATAAAACTGTGCAATCAAACATTCACATAAGAATGTAGAAAAGAATACAAATCCTACGACATGCAGCATAATGAGTTCATCTAGTTTACAATTTCTGATCAAATGTTTCTTTCCAACTGTGAGATGTCGACTTTGTGTGTCACCAGGTTATGGTTTGTTATTCTTCTTTGTGGCTGCTACACCTGTGCTCAGGTCCAAGCTGTCCAAGCTGGTGAGCCAGTCTGAACAAGGTCAGCCACTCATCACATTTCTGAACAGCTATGCATGCTCAAAGTATTTAAGTGTCGAGAATCTTAAAGGCTGTCCATTAGCGTCAGACTAACATTTTACAGCTTGCTTCATTTTGAGAGCTGTACTAAATCATTGTATTTCATGAAATGTGTCTCTTCAGTTTTAACTACATGTCCAAGATTGGTCAACTATACGCCCAACTTTTCTCAAGTTTAGAATGTTGTTTTGCTCCCATTTGTGTGTGGATCCAATAAATTCACCTTGTTTGCTTTCTTGGATGTTGCAAATACTCTGTTTGCTTTTGTTTATTTGCATTGTCATCAGGTTTCCCTGTAATGGAACTGAATGTTCTTATGCCGCTTCCTTGACGGCGTCCTGCAAAGTAGCGCTTCATGCTAATGTCAATGTTCTCTTCCAGGTGCCCTCTTTTCCTCTGTGGCCTGTGTGGAGAGCTTGTGTTACCTCGTGGGCAGTGGCGTTTTCAACTCCGTCTATCCCGCCACATTGCACTTAATGAAGGGCTTCACCTTCCTCTTTGCTGCTATCGTCCTCCTCATCCCAGCCGGAATAATTGGGTGAGTCTCCTCTTTGCCTCAATCACGAGACAAAACACTTGGATATTGACAATGGATGCCAATGTGTCTCCAGGAGCTTGCGTTGTTTAGAGATGAACGAACGCGGCGACTCCACAACGTCGTGACCTGCAGTCGGACCATGAATTAAAGATGGGAAGTTAACCCTGTGGGTGTTTTTGGGGTGAGCATCTCAAATAGAGACACGGGATCACTGTGTGGCAAAGGGAAGAACACATTTTACTTGAAAGAGTCAGGGACAACAGATTAGTGATTAAGTTCACTAAAATTTATCCTGCCAATGCAAAAAGCCAATGAAGGGAAAACTTTATATGCTTTTTATGCTTTTATTTTGGGGCATTATGAATCATCAAAGTGCCCGCAAGTGTTTCTTAATTCAATGTAAATTTCATATTTTGAAATGGATGTCCAATGCAAACTTCTTCTTCTCCTTTCGGCACGTCCCTATTCAGGGGTCACCACAGCGAGTCAGTAATTTCCATCCGCCCCCGTAAACCGTCCTACCAACTCGCATGGTCGTCTTGGCAAAAGTTTTACGCCGGATGCCATTCCTGACGCAGGATGTCCAATGCAAACAAATTTTGAAATTCATTTCAATCCGTACATTCATGAACAAAAAAAAAAAACATTGTCCAAAACGAACTAGTGCAATAGCTAAAACAAATGTTGATTTAAATTCCATCCATTTTTTAAAATCTATATAATTGTCCAAAGCAAACAAAATATCTACACTGCCCTCCATAATAATTGGCACCCCTAGTTAAGATGTGTTCTTTCTTAAAACTTTGTTTTTTATCATAAAAATTATAGGACCCGAAAAAAAAGGCAATTTTTGGCATGTGAGGTTTTTGGTTCAATGCCAGCAATGTGTCAGATTTGTCAGTTGTTTTGAATGTGATCATGTATGTTGTGGGATGTCCCAAATGCCTCAAAAAGGCTTTGTTATGTTGATAAATTTGGATCATGATCAGTTCAACTTCACGCGCCTGAATATCATATGTTGTCCTGCTGTCTTTTACATCATGACATCACATGATGAGAAGTTTAGTTTTGATACAGCAGCATCTTCAACCAATGTCCAATATCATTTTATTGCAATGTACCTGTACTTGATTACATCCCTGTCATTTCCTGCCACATACACATGTAGGCCAAATTGTGGTTTTTCTTCCATTCAAGAAAGAATAATCCATAACGGTCAATTAAATAATTGAACAGACAAATAACATACAGTACCAAATTTGCTAAAACTGACAACCTGGAAATCAGGCTTTGCTTTGGGCTTGTGCTTCAGCGACATTCGTTCAAAAATAAAGTAATGCACTTTTGTCTTTTTTTACAGTGTTCATTTATTACTTTTGTCAGATTCAATGATTGAAACACAGTGAGCTCTGTGTTTTGTTTTTCTTTCTTCAACAGAAGGAAACGAACAATTTAGCCTGAGTGTGTATGTGACAAATTATTGATAGCAGAAAAAAAGGGAACGGTGTAAAGCAGTTGGGGATTACCGAGTTAAGAACTTGAAGCAGAGCAGCTTGTCTTACAACTGGATAGTCCCCGAGCACATGGATGGAGCCGGGGGGGCACATCTGAGATTCACTGTAAACTGAGAAATCAGCTTTAAAATGCACAAAGGGAAGATCAAAGGTTCAGCGGCATATCGGCTTGTTTGGATTGGGTCCTGTTCATCACCTCGATGGACAGCATTTCTAGGCGCAGTTGAGGTGGTTTGGTGGTCTCTGTATTACGGTACAGTACCGTTGGCTTTTTCAAGCCATGCTCTTCAACTCTCTCCGGAGCGGGCCGCAGCCGAGTACCGAGGACCTCCAAATCTGAGGCCATGGTCCACAGTCAAAAAAGGGTGGAGTGTACTCTCCAAGTCAGGGATGAGATCCTACCCCTCAAGTTCACAATTAGAAATTTTCTATTCGAACTGTCTATTTCATTCTAAAGAATCCAAAATACTGTCGTAATTTTTAATTTGCAACACTGTCCTGGCTTTGCATTCAAAAGCATGCATTGTCCAAATTGTGTTTTTCTTAAGACTGAGTTTTGCAGAATCACAATAAAAGCGTGCGGTCTGCATTGACAGTACATTATAAATGTATTCATGAGATGCCTGTGCTTTCTGTTTGTGTTATGTCTGTTGACGCATGTACAGAATCGTTGGAGTTCCATGAAATACACAAAATAAGGAACAGCAATGAGTTTTGCCTACTTCACAGATACAGTTAATGGAGTGCACATTGGAACCACAAATATAAACGGGTAGTTTAATGGTTTACACGATATTCTTGTTCATGTTCCAATATCAGAGGCAAATTGTGTGATACAGTGTAAATAATTCTATTTGAATGGAATCGCAACAAAAATGACATTCTGATGCTATGAGTATTCTGACTAAATATACCGAACAACATGAGCGTTCACCCTTTTCCTGTTCCTGAGACAAAAAAGGCATACACTGTACCTGATGACACATGATTAAAAACATGGAAGTCACGGTTTTTATGCGCACTGCATTAAGACGTCATGTTATTATTTGCAATATATTCTTCCTATAAGCTTTTACCATTGTCAAAAGAGCTTCACATGCACATGGGCTGAGCAGGAGAAGGCTTCTGGCCGCTCGCTTTTGGCATCAATTAAGAGTTATTCTGGCCCAGATGTGTTCATTTCTTCTTCTGCTCTTTGGAGCTATCCAGAAGGTCCTGATTTCCCTTTAGAAAGCGCAGGATCTTCTCTATCGAGGCCTCCTGATATTCGTGCGACCACCTGTGTCCAAAAGAAAAAGACAACATGCGTTAAGTTAATCATCAAAGATGCACAATGTCTTCGTAAACTATGAATGGAATGGCTACTCACTTGATACCATTGAAGTTGAGAATAGATCTCATGTCCTCCGGGAGAGATGTGGGATCGGGCCATGCGAAGTTATCCGTGACTGGAACAATGTTCTTCTTACCAGCCAAGGCGGTGACTATTTCCTGTAACATCAGATTACGTAACGATAAGACAAAAGATTTTTGTGTTGACGTCACATCGCTAAAGATATTTTAGTTGGTATTATCAGTTCAGTCCTCAACATGAGTGTTTTTAGATGGATCCCGCCGACCAAAACAGGGCCAAGAACTATTCGAACCCAACACTGAGCTGACCTTATGCACCCAGTCTTTCATAGCCGTGTCCCCCATGCACTTGTCCAGAGCGTTGGCAGACAGCACCAGGATGAAGTTTCGAGCCCGCTGGACACTCTGAATCAATTTGTCCTCGAATTTTCCAGCTTCCAGCTTTTCCACATCTATGAAGACGCTGAATCCTCGAACCTGCAGGTGCACCTTTAGAAGGCTTTTGGCGACGACAAGGGATTGAGAATGTACTAGTTAGGACAAAGCCAATTGGACAAGAGACAGTTTCCTTTTCCATCAAACCATTTTCTATGGTGGCTTTTTCTCATCCGTGTCGCAGGTGAGCTGAAGCCTACCCGGGCTGGCTTTGAGTGAGAGGCACGGTACACCCTGGACTAGTTGCCACCAAACAACCATTCGTACTCATTCTTCACACCTTCTGACAACTTAAGAGTCTTCAATGGGGCATTTTTAAAATTTATTTATGTAGCGCTTTCACAACAGCTGGTGGGTGGGATTCCTATCATGTAAATGTCCACTAATGGAGGAAATTATTGTGTTTGTGAACATCATGATTTAATCATTTTGGTGATCGTGGTGATAGATTAATTGCGTCTTGAAAGAAATCATCATAGTGGTCTGCACTACTTGGCTGTGACCAGCAGAGGTATTGTTGATCCGTCTTAGCTTGACTTGTGGCTTGAAGCGGAAGAACATAACGTCAGCCATGGCAAGTTGAGCAACATGCATGTAATGGCAACTGCTCAATTATTCTGCTCAATGTAAAACTAAAACATGAGCAATTAAAAAAAAAAAAGTCAATCTACTACTGGTTCCTTTAGATACTGTCTATTGGAGGGAATTGAAATATCTTACGGGAGGCAAATTTGGGCGCGCTACTGGCTGTAACCAGTAGAGGCACTGTTGATGCTGTAGTATTTTTTTGGGCCGAAAGAAGAACAACATGACGAGCACGTTGGCAAAACGTCTATATTTCCCCTATGGTCAATCGAGGGCAATAAAGCATTGTAACCCCACCACTCTGACCTTGCAAGTTGTGAACCAGTGGTCCGGCGATAGCTGATGAACACATCCGGTCCCGCAGGTTGGGCGTCTGTGTTGCAGGTTCTGATCGGCTTACGACTGGCCGCCAGGATCTTGGCCCGGTGGACTCCGTTGAGTATGCGGCAGTCCTGCAGGAGCTGTTGATCCGTCAGGCTTTGGATGTTGTTGCGGTCCACCCCAGACTGGACGAAGGCATACGTGTACTGGCGAAAACGAGGGTCCGCCTCCGTCAACCAGTCAGCCATATTGTGTGGGTCGCATGTGGCGTAGTTAGCGTAGGTCTTTAGCACGCGCAGGTCTCTTAGAAACCTGGAAGAAAACAAAATACAGTGGTACCTTCAGATTTCACCCAAAAGTGGTGGAACGTGTGAACCAGGTTGGTGACCCCTGATTTAGAGTATCCAACTGGTTCTTTCACACTCCTTTTGAATCGTTTGGCATCAATCAACGTATTTGGTTTGACTTTAACGTTGCGGTGTAAAGCGAGCGGGCTTTTGTTTTAGCTCAGTTGAATAACTTGCCTCTTGCGGCAGAGGCCAGCACTCATGCCCAGATCTGTACTCAGCTCTTGCTCTGTGATGTTCAGAAGGAGGTCTCCATCCACCTGGAGCTCCTGGCTCACCAGGCAGACACAAATTTATCAGACACATGCGAATTATATTGCTACTCAATGAGGGTTAACTTTTTGAGGAGCAGGAAGTCAAAACTGACCTGGAAGCAGTCGCAGAAAGCGCTGAAGCCGACCTGCTGCAGCCAGGTCTGCACCTCGCAGGTCTTCCAGTTAGGCACGTTGGACAAGATGCGCTTGGGCACTTCCTCTTCCATCATTCTTAGCGCACGCTTGGCCAGGGAGCAGGCCGTGCCATTGCTGGAGTACATGACGATTCTTTTAAGGCTCTGCACCGCTCCAATCTCTTGGAAAATCTGGAAGCATGCAGGCTGCTGTTTTATATTGGACACAATCTGGCAAAATTCCTTTTTTCATGGCCTGTATACATACGACTCGGTCGCTATGTATCCTGCCCATCCATGAAGTGTGAAATTGAGGGCCGCCACTTGATTTATAACTAACAAGCGATCCTTTATAGAGTCATAAATTGACCCAGAGGAAAGCAATGCACGGGAGAATCTGCAAACTCCACATTGGTAGGCCAAGGCCAAATTTCA